CGCAATGATGGTGCCAACTTGGGCCAGAGAAGCGATGTCCTCCACAACTAGACGGAAGAACAAAAGGACAGCAACTTGTCTGTTCCTCTTCCCCCAATTCCCTAGCGCTGTTCCCATCCCCCAATTCCCCAATAAAAATCTTTAAAAAAAAGAAAGGAAAGAAAAAGCACAACACAGAGATTTGAAATCAAAATGTATTTGTTTTCAAGTTCTGTTCCAGGTAACAAATACTTTGGCTCTTGGACAAGCAAATTGCCTCTTTCCATAAGTGAACATAGCTCTGAAGTGAATACCAATAGATCCCTGATTGCTTTTCAGAATAGAATAAAGCAGTTAAGCCCTGAAAAAAGCATTCACATTTATCCTCATTGCGAACCAAGAAATCACCCAAATTTCCCACCTCCCCCTACCCCCAAGACCCAAATAAAAGCGGTAGAAATTAGATCTTGTGCAAGTCACACTTACAAGAACAAGACACGATCCTTGGCAAACTAAATCCTTGACTTCACACCCCCCCAGGCCTGGGCAACGTTTCCACTGAAGGAAATATAAGCTAAGAATGCAGGAGTGTTGATTTAAAAAGCAAGTTGGTTAATGTAAGGGGTAAAGATGAAGGTGAAATTTTTCAAACCCAGGAGGTTTGTTGCAGGTAGATTGGAATCTTCTTGTGTAAAGGAAAGGAGATGGAGGGGGAGAACAGAGAGGATCCCAGCCCTCTATCTCCTCCTTGTGTGAAAAGCTTATGCTTGTTCTGAGGTAGGGTAACCCCAGTGATTGCGAAAGAGGGAAGACTGATACCCAAAATGTGCTGTAAGTTACAGCTTTCAGGGATCCTTCCCTTGGGCCTCCAAAATGATTACCCGTTCTCACGCCATACTGAAAATGTACACAATAGCACTCGGTAAGCCACCGGCACTCTGCGCTGAATGAAGCAAACATCTTCGAAGTACGTTTTGAAACAGAAACTTAACTTTCCCCATAGGACCTGACAGAGGGTAAGTTAGCCTGTAACAGTATTATACACAGCTTTGGAAAACGGAGTGGTGTTTTAGAGGTTGGCTTAGTCAACTCTCTGACTGATAGCATCCCTGAGCTTTTAAGGGAAGAGAAACCATTTCTTAATAATTTCTAATTTTGCATATCCTTGCTCCCCTTTAAAAAAAGAAGAAAAAAAAGATATAAGGGCATTTGTTTTAGTTTTCCCTTTTTCTTTCAGAGAACCCTGAAATTCCCACTTTTTACTGGTTAGTTTGTGCAGGAGTGTGCTCCAGTCTGTGCAAATGCATCCTCATTCCACTGTTTTCCTTATTATTGTTACCCAGAGCTCTTCGCTGCTGAAAAGGGGAGAGGAGGAAGTCCAGTAACTTTTTTATGTGTATATATATAAAAAACATATAAATGCAATTTGTGGGTGAAATGATGAATAGCAGTAGGGGTTAGAGTCTGCACAGATAGTAAGAAAATAAATTTATCTCCCTGATTCTTTAGTGCCAGCATTCTGCTCTAAGGGTTCTAAGCGACCAGCTAAAGCAATGAGGTATTAAGGAGCTGACTCCCCCAAGTGTCTTCCTGTGGAACTTGAGGATGACAAACACATACAAAGCACCCAGCACCCAGGTCAACATCTAGGAGAAGCCGTTCATCACATATCAGTGAGGTGTTTAGGGCAGGGGAGACATGAGCCTCAGGAGGTATGTCCTAAGGAGGCCCGCAGGATATGGCCATCCTGGCAGAGCTCTGACGTCATCAGTGCTACATCAATCAATCTGTTTTACCACAGTGCTCATGGAAGGGAGGGCAAGGGCTGTCATCTTCCTACTTCCGTCCTTTTTATAATCGTGTGAAGTCTTCCAGAGGGTTACTACCCCTGTCCCTTGCTGGAGGCCCCTCACCTGGTTCTCTTTTGATTTCAAGTCCACAGGTGGAATTAATCCTTCCAGGGGAATAGTCATTCCTTTTTAAATCTGCGAGGAAGACAATTAAGATGGTTAGAGGGGGTCCTCAAGAACATAGCGTTCACAAAGATAGATTGAAATCTAAGCTTTACCAAGTGCTCAGAGAGGACTGTTTCCTCAGGCCACCAATACATGACACTCATACCCTTGACCATGTCCAAACCGCCTTTCCCATGCCCACATGTGACGCTAACTCCTCATGCTATTTCTAACTCCCTAATGCTTGTGCTCACTGGGGCGGGGAGGAGAAGTTTGGCCACTTGATTCAATATGTGATGCCCTGTAAGGCACAATCTGGCCAGAGTGAAGTGAGGCCAAACGGGAAACAGGGCATTTTCATGCTGAATGATGAGCAGGGCCAGGAAGCTCAACCTAAATGGTGATCTCGAGATTTCAGGGGTCAGCTTTCTGGAACAAAACTGTACTTAGGTTTGGCACCGCCTAGGAAAACTTCAGCCACTTACCGGATCCTATGCTTCCTGAAGTCTCCTTCTTCCATATGAGAAGGAAATTATCTAAACACAACATTAATAAGAGTAACCTTTGGGGAGAAATGCATGGAGGAATGTGGGCTTTCAATGTTTGTGGACCATTTTGGTGCTACACTGTATTAAATGTGTTAACCTTAAACGTGCATTCTGTGTATTTTCGATGTTATATGGGAATTACCTGGACATAAAACCAATACATATTATAGTTTAATAATAACCAACGGTTACTGGACATAGCCATATATTATTACTTCAAGCCTCCCACCAACTTTTGAAACAGGTGCTGTGTCGCCAGTGTATGGATGAGGAAACTGAGGCTCAAGGTCACATCCTAGTAAGAAGCAGAAATGGGACGTGAGCTCAACCTGTATGGTTATGGATCCTGTGTTCGTATACACAATCCGAAACTGTCTCAGGTAGATAGATAGATGATAGATAGATAGATAGATAGATAGATAGATAGATAGATAAAACATTATTAAGCAAAAAAGGAAAACCACCCCTATTACTGTTTGCCAGACTCATCTTTTTTTATTCAGATAACCAAATGACTAAGTAAATGAGGATATTTCTTATTTCCATTTGAATGTGCTAATTTAGGTCTTGAAAGGAACTATGGATTAGGACCAGAAGTGGAGAAATTACTGAATTACTCACTCAAATCCCACCGGCATAGGTTAAAAAAAAAAATCTCCACCTTAATCATACGGAACAGCTAACTGGGCTCAAGGATGGAGCAGTGAGTTATGCCTCAGGTCTCCCTTTCTCCTGGTTGATCCCTGTGTCTCCAAGAATGAGAGGCTGCCCTGACCCGAGTACAGAGAATCACACCTGGGAAGAGGCTATCAGCTAAGAACACTGAGTTAATGGGCTGGACTCCAGCCCACAATCATGGGATGACTCAGACTCTGTCAGCACCTGCCTCGCACAGGGCTCTTACCTGAAGGTCTTGAGGCCCCTTAGCCCAGCCCCAGCTCCTTCCTAGGTTCCTCCTGACCAGAGAGGATGCCAGTGGGCAGCTCAGCCAACGTGCTGTGGACTGATCTCTTTGCCCAGGTCTGTTGTGGTTTGTGAGAGCAAGTCCTGGGCAACTAGAAGAGGAGAGTGACAGCCCTCCCCTCTTTGCTGCTCCCATCTGATCTCCCCACTCTACATACCCACCCCTCCAATACCACCTCTGTCTGACAGGCTATTTCTCACTGGAACCAGAAGCCTGCTCCAAATCCCAGTGTTTTGCAATGTTCTTGCCCACAAGAGCTCCTCAATCTCCTACCTCTAATGCCAACAAGATTAGAAATTGCCATTTTTTGTTGTAAATTTACACGCACTCCAGCCCAAGTTACAATGGACGATGATCTTTTACTGATTTCCACTTCAGGGTATGATCACTTATTAGAAGGCAGGAAGGGATACTCAGCTTATAATATGTAAAATTCCATTCTAAGGACAAGTTTGGTATGATCTAAGAAAAACAGTGAGCAAGCTGAGACAGACATAAAATGTCCCTTCTGAGATGAAAGGAAAGAATGCAACAGAGCTGGGACTGCCAATTTGGAGGGCACAGACTGCCAGCTGCTTGCTTTTATGTTAGGAATATTTCCTGTGGTGATGATACTGGTTTCAGAGAAAGTGTACTATATTATCAAATTAGATTTAAAATATATACATTGCAATGTATGTTTAAAGTTTAAGGTTTTTGTAGTAAAAGCCACTACTTTAACTGGCAGATGTGTTTCTCTCCACAGCCGCCCTCCCAAGTGTCCAATGAGTAAATAAGAGAAGAACAGGATTACTGTGGGCACCATACAGGACCCAAGGGTGGGGTGTGGCACGGGGACCTACCTCGATCCAGTTTTATCCCAATTAAGTCAGGGGAACTTTTCCCTTGGATGGACTGTGACAAGTATTGGGCCCAATGTTTTTTTATCACATTTTGGCAGAACCTGAAGTAAATCCCTGTCCTTTTAATCCCGTTAGAGACTTGAAAACTTTGCAGTCAGAAAGTCAGGCCTCAACTTCGAATGAGATAAAAATGTGATTAAGATTTTCTACTCTATCCCACGTTACAATGGATGTTCTTCTATGAGAGAGTTACTTAGAAAAAACTAGAATTGTTTGGGGCATACCCGGGAGTTTGAGCTTCCGGCAGCAGGAGTTGCAACGATGTTTTGCAATGAAGTTTCTAATTGCATCTTCCCCTAAATTGGCTGGTCCAAACACCATTCCTCTTGATCTAGAGGAAATATCAGAATATCAATTAGATCACTGCTAAGAAAAAGGAGCTCAACTAGGATTCTCTGAGATACCGAACAGTATCCCATAGTAACCCAGCAAACTTAAGGAGCCAACAAAGAACAGAGCACTTTGGGGAAGCAACAATGTTAAGTTTGCAAATTTAAAATTCAAATGCACTTAAATCTTTGTACCCAACTCCAGGACCTACTGTGAAACTCATTTCAACACTACTCTGATAGAAGAGAGCATTTTCTATGTACCATGTTAAAACAAAATAGAGTGAGACTCTTTTTAATGCATATGGGCTGAGAGAATGACATTCACTACCAAATGTTCTACTAGAATATCCAAAAGGTAAGGTATAAAGTAAAATAAATTTGCTATTGGAACACACCTTCTAAAAAGATTGATATACATTGTTTTGAACCCAAATACCTTTCTAAATATAACCACGTCCTTGAAAACAAATGCCCAACAAAACCCTATATCAGTGCTCATGGCTCTTTTGGTATCTGCTTTCTACCCTGCAAACTGGCTCTTCTTGGAAAGACACGACTACTATGATTTTGTGGAGGTAAACTACATATGCTAAATATAGGTGACAAAATTACAAACAGTATCAGTATGTATTAGGAACACTTTGAATACTCTATAATTAACAGTAGATCCTCAGCAGATTCCAGAATCAATGTTCATCCATTATCAGACCATGCACAACCATTATTCTTCAGGCTGACACACTACACACCACGGAACAGAGCACACCAGAAACACTCCAAAGAAACTTTATGAAAGCTAATATTTTATTTTAATGACATGCAGAGTGGAAACAGCACATTTTAAAATCTGAACTCAATTACCGCTCTTAAATACCATGTCGTCAGAAAAAAAGAAAAGCAAACTATCACAAAAGGAAACAATAAACTTCGCTTCTAAGGAATGCGGTTTTTCAAAAGGGACGTGGTGTAAAAATGGACTTTTTTTTCCATCCGAGTATTGAAACATTTATCTCAATTTCCACTTCCTTTTGGCAGAATAACAGTAGCTGCTCTGAAGATGTGCCAAGCTCAGAATGAGGGCTGATGTCAGTTTGATCTCACATTGCCTCTTTGCTCTGAGGCGAGTAGGTGGAGGAAATCTCTTGGGAAGACAAAGTGAACGGACACCCAGGATTAATTTTCCTGGTCACTCAATCTCCCTTACAAAGTACGGCTCTGGTGGTATTTACCAGCTGCATAAGCTGCCTCTTGTTAACTATTCTTCTTTCAGTCCTTCTGGTAAAAAAACCACTTCAAATAAGGTGAACCAAATGTGTTAGAAAAGTGGAATCACTCGATATTTAGTACCAGAACACTATGATGCTGATAAAGTAAAAAATGATGGTGTTTTTCTCCATCATTAAAATGGAAGAATTCCTTTTATCTTCTCTCCAGCATGACCCTGTTGGAATATTTCACTCTTGTGCGTTGCACACCTGTCATTTCTTTTCTCCCAGTAAAGCATGAAAACCCCCAACTTAGAAATAGAACATTGATTCTCAGATAAAAGCTATAAGCTAAATCATCTTCCTCTATGAGCTTGGTGAAAGTTAAGACAAAAGAATCAAAACTACTATAAAATGTATATATCAGGGGTTTTGCTCCCAGTGCAGAGGAGAATGAATGAGGGTTGTAGGGACATTCACTTGTGTCTACACCCTACAGCATGCGTACAGCCTTGCAGTATCAGATAACAATGTTTAAAAATGATAAATAAATACAACCAGTGTCCAGACTTTTCACAGCATAGGAAAAGCAGGTGTTGGCTTGGTTCCACGTATGAGGAAACACAAATTAGTACCATGTATACATAGATTTCCTAAAGAATATCTCATCATTATCATCATTTCAGACTTGTCAAATGCCTAACCCATCAAGTCAGTAAGTAAAAAGATGCAATCCAAAACTACCACTAGCTGAGGCAACCTCCATAGAGGCTCATGACCTGAGGAACCAAGAAAAGTGGCCAGAGAGGATGTGGGGGCGAAGAAGGCCTGATGACTTTATCTTCATGTGCAAAGGTTGGGGGAAGGTAAGAGACAACAGGCATTGGAGACAATATCTGAATTTGCACCACAAAAACATCTCTTTTGGTGGAGGATTATTCCCTTTCTTCAACCCCTCCTCCTCATAGGCAAGTTACCATCTTCACAGAGCTTCAGTTTTCTCATTTGTGAACTGGGATTGAAGGTGTTTAATTTCAGTGTTGCTGTTAAGGGTAAAACAAACAAGACATGAAAGCACTGGCTTATTAAACTGGTGCTTCTCAAGCTTCAAGTTACACCAGATCACCTTAGGATCTTGTGAAAATGCAGATACCGATTCAGAAGATCTAGGGAGGGCTTTGAGGTTCTGCCTTTCTAACACTCTTCCAGTTGATGCTGATGTTATCGGTCCGTGGTCCATGCTTTGTGCAGCAAATGTGAGCCTCGTTGAACGAATCAGATGTAATTCTCCACAGTTGCAAGAAAATAGTGTTTCTTATCTTCACCATGAAGGCTAACTGCACCCAAAATTAGGTGACTCCACAAAACCAGGCATGCTACAGCAATGCCATCCTATCAGTTTCGAGTTCCTATCCTCATGTTCTAAGAAATAAAGTTTGCCATAAGACAGGTTTCCAGCCCCAGTTGTCCATTAGAATCACAGGGAGAACTTTTTAAAAATATAGACATCAGGGCCCTATCCTCAGAGATTCTAATTTGATGCCAATTCTGAGCAACTTTTTTGTTTTTAATTCCCCTAGGTGACCTTAGTAGAAATTGAGACCCACTGACCTATAGAATGCAGTTAAATATTCAACTGTCAAGTGGGGTAATATAATCTTAGAATTCTAAAAGATGGAACTATTCAGGTCATAGTAAATGACATATGCAAAGGTCAAAATTTAATAAATGATAGCGTCTACATAAACTTGGTTCATTATATGTGCAAAATTTTTTCACCACAAAATTATAAAGGAAGTACTTATAGTACAAGGTTCCTACTACAAACACTTGGGCACACAGGGCTCCTGAGGAAATAATATTCTCAGCTAAAAACACTTTAGCTCTACTAAAGTAAAAAATAAAGTCTTTATCTGTACCCTAAAGGTTACAACATGAACTGAATGGTCAAATTTCACAGGAATTGGATGCATGGGAGCAATATGGATCGCCTTTATCTTCTCTAAATCACCTAGACCACACAAGTACCTAATACTTTTAGATGGACCACTTTGCATAGAAGCCTATAGATAAGACCATATTTAGATTAGATCGTTCCATTAAAGAACAGAGCATTAAAGCAGTAAATACCATATTTTGCCATGTATAATGTGCTCCTGTGTATAATGCACACCCACATTTATGGCCCAAACTTTCAGAGGAAAAACTTTTCATTTTCATTTTTTAATTGAAAATTTTATTTGTTTACATTTAGGTACTTGTTTTTTGTATTATAAAGGAATTTTAGCATTTATTTTTAACATATTATGGTACAAGAAATATTATGTACCAGTAACAAATTTACAATATTTATGCATCATAGAAGGCCAAGAACTCTTTGTCAATCCAAGTTTGTTGTAAGTTCAACAAAACCGATTATCATATTCCAGGGTATTATTTTGCATATGGATATCGTTATTGATTTCTAGAGTTACACTTTTAACTCATAAGCATAAATAAAAGAATTAAAACCATTGATATAGATACAGAATTAGTACTACCCATGTATAATATGCATCCTTATTTTTCCCTCACAAATTTAGGCAAAAAAAAATTCGCATTATACATGGCAAAATATGGTACTTACAATGTTAGTCCTGTGGGAAGGAAAGTAAAATTTTCATATTTTATCATACAAGGATTTCCCACTTATGTAGTTTTATATATATATATATATATATATATTCTACAATGCAGGGCAAAGTATAGACACTTAGGACAACTAAGAAATGTTGTATGCCAGCAGTTCTCAGATGTGGTCTCTGCGTCAGCAGCATCAGAATCATCTGGGAACTTGTTATATTATTTGGCCCCACCCCTAACCCAGTGAATCAGGAAAAGGGAGGTGGGGGCAGCAATCTGTGTTTTAATAAACTTTCCTGGTCATTATGATGAAAGTTCATGTTTGAGAACCACTGTTACCCGACATATTGATCAGTCCTTAATCAACCCCGTCATTTCTTTCTTTCTACTCCACCTTTAACAGACGAATACAACCTCAGAGCCTCTATTGCCAAGGCTTCCCAAAAGCCTGCTTATGGGATACAATGCCCATGGGAATTCAAAGGACAGGCAGATGACTCATCCCTCCACATAATTTAAACCTCGGTCTTGAATTAACAGACAATCTGGTGCTCTTTATTTCAGCCCCATTGTTTTGGCCTCTGAGATTTGCTGTTACTATAGCACACTTTATGCCCTCAGCTTTCATTTTACAGGCATGTGATGGAAGAAGCTGCCTGTGATGAGATGCAATGACTCCACTGTGAGGACAACAAAGGAAACTGTGCTTCTCCTGTGACATTGTTTTCACGTCAAAGCTTATAGAGATTGAATTTACCCATATTTCTCTTTGGTCTAGGCTACTAGAAAACTCAGAGTCAAATTTGCAACAAAGTTCTAGCTACTGCAATGGTCTTTATAATTTCTATTTATGTGTACTAAAAACTCCACATTTAATCTAGTCATATTTTCTTTTTGCGCCATTTCCCAATCTGTGCTTTCTTTAAAATCTTACTGTATTTTAAATCTTATTGTATTTTATTATATTGTAATTAAATATATAGAGAACAGATAAAGAAATAGATATGGTTATGGATATATAGACATGGATATAGATACATAGATAACAGCTGCCTCAAAACTTTTCTAGGATCTAGACAAGAACTATAAATGTTTTGAAAATTATTTTTTAAAAAACATGTATAGTGTGTTAAATATGCAATTTTCTAAATGATAACATCATAAATTAACTTACTGTTTGTCTTCAGGTTTTATAACAGATGGATCTGTCAAATTTTCTCCAACACCTCCAAAGAAGAAAGAAAATAATATAGCAAATGGGAATTTCATTTTCTCAGAAATTCAAGAAAATAATAATCAAATTTTACTTCATTTCTTTAAACCTATATCCACCCCGTAATAAATTAAACACCATGTGAATTAACTATACTATAAAAATTGTCCAGGCATGTTGGACAATTTTAGTTAATGCATGGCCTCCTGCAACCCCCTCTTAAGCAATAAGAAATTTCTAGACCAAAAATGAATGTTTTAGTGGTATGGCCACAGTTACTATTAGTGGCATGTCTCATTCGTTTACTACTCATATATACTAGACATTTTAATTTTATTTTCTCTAATTCTCAGCAATCATAAAAGTATTAGCATCCTCATGTCCTCATTTGACCAATGAGAATGTTGATATTCAAAGAGATTAAGCAATTGTCAGAGGTGACACAGTCCACAAGTGGCGATAACAGGAATCAAGCTGAGCCAAAGCTTGTGGGCATGGTCTCCTTTGATGGAGTCCATCCGTGCTCAGCAAGGTGAAAGGTGCTGTGTGGTTCTGCTGGAACAGCCTCTGCTCCATCAGAGACACATCAAATACTACATAAATATAGCCTTTAAAAACAGTAGGATACAGGGCTGGCCGAGTGGTGCGATGGTTAAGAACTGGCTTGGGACGCCAGAGGGCCCGGTTCGGATCCCACATATGAGGGCCAGTGACACTGCCCTCTACAGCTGAGATGCTAAACAACAGCTCAACCTGGAGCTGGGCTGCTGTGAGTCACTGGCGACGGCGTCGGCTGCAGCCCCCGTGGCAGTGGGTTGCCACAGGCTGCCGTATGTAACCAGCAGCCAGGGTGAGCGGCCAGCAGCCGCAGTGAGCGGCAGTCCAGAAGCCGGTGACTGATCTGCCTCGCCAGGGAAGAGCGCAATGATGGTGCCAACTTGGGCCAGTGAAGCAACGTCCTCCACAACTAGACTGAAGAACAAAAGGACAGCAACTTGTCTGTTCCCCTTCCCCAAATTCCCCAGCACTGTTCCCATCCCCCAATTCCCCAATAAAAATCTTAAAAAAAAAAAAAGATGGTTCTTTTAAAAAAAAACAAAAAAACAGTAGGATACAAATGCCCCAAACTCTTGATCTGGGTGCTTAATGCTGTGTACATGTTCCTGAATATATGTTATTCTCTAATAAAATTTACTGATTAAAAAATGACACATAGGTATAATTTAAAGCTAACATTTATCAAAACAGGGATCAACATCCAAAGTGAATCTCTGTTATAAAATGAAAGTGGTGAAGAGATTGATTTCTGACAGCTGTCATGTTTCACAGGCAGGCCAATCAGACAGGTACATGCAACAATTGGGCACAACCCATTGATTTCTAAGATCATTCTCTCATTAGCACTGGCTCTCTTTGCTTGGAAGACACCAACCTTGTGGGAAAATTATTTTTAAATCATACAAAATTTATAACATTATAATATAGTTTTATTTGGTAAAAAAATATGTTTTCTAACCACTATTTTTATTTAAAAAAAGATTTTTGCTATGTTCTGTATGTTTTACCATATGCTAAACCTTTCACACACACACATAAAAAAACAGTTATCCTTATAGGATAGTCCTTTCCCCTAAGAAACTGACTTTCTTAGGAAAACACCCTGCTTAAATAGGGGTTTTCAACCTTTCTTGTGTCATGGCCCTCTTTGTCAGTCTGATGAATCTTGGGGACCCCCGTCTCAGAATGTTTTAAAATGTATAATTTAAATACATATGATTACAAAGGAAACCAATGATACTGAAATACAGTTACCAAAACATTTTTTTCATCGTTCTATTGCAATACATGCGCTTCTTTATTAATACATTAAATAACAGGATCCAACACAAGTCTGATAACTATCATATCATCCAAGTAATAAATATGAACAGTATTTTGAGATATCTGCCAACACTGTAACATACTATGTTAATATCTGTAATTGCTATCACAAATAGTCACAGGTACTGCTAATACCACTGTGGCATGTGGTCTCCATTATAATTGAAGAAAATGATGACTTTCAGCTATAGGTTGGTGAAAACAAAGGTGTAATTTGTTTTTCATCAGAGTTCACAGACCCTCTGAATTCTATCCAGGGACACTTTAGAACCCCTGGGATAGAATCTCTTTACACATGGATTTTGATTAGGGAAAGAGAAAGCAAAGCTGAAACACAGGCTTAAGGTCAAGTGTGCAAAATGTGCTTTGCTCATCTTTTTTTTTTTTTTTTAAGAAAAAGTCATAGGAAGAGGTTGGGTTGTTTATATTTTTCTCATTACAGTTATAAGAAGGAACAGCCTGGAGATATCCTATTTTTTAACTATGTAGTAAATAAACAGAACAACAAACAGACTGATATCCCAAGTACCTTCAGTAAGGAGATTAAAGGCTATAAATCCTTTACATGTTAAAGCTCAGACCTAACTTTAAACCTGAAATTTCCAACACTGATGAATGCTTTAGGCTGATGTCTGAGTGAACTGTAAATTTAAGCTGGGAATACAGACAGTGCCTAAAGAGGTCATATTAATTGGGAAAAAGGAAGTTTTATGGGGGGAAAAAATGTCTATTGAAATCATATTAGCTCCTGTTTACATTAAATCTTGTTGCCTGTTACACAGGCAGATGTCAAAGAATCTGAGTTCCACTCATAACCCCATCACTTCCAAGTTCTGTGACTTGGCCACAATAGTTAATCCCTGTGAATCTGTGTTGTCATCTGAAAGTGCAAATAGTGGGACTTACAGGGTCACTGAGAAGATTAAATGAACTATTGTATACAAACTGCTTAGCAAAGTGTCTGACCCAGAGGGTGTTAAAAAATGTCAACTGGGAGGCCGGTTGAGTGGCTCAGTTGGTTAAGAGCTCACTCAAGAGTGTAGAGCTCTGAGCAACAGCAGTTCGAGTCCCAGCCTGAGTTGAGCTGCTGCTGAGCTGCCAACAGGTGGCAGGATGGCTCAGCTATAAAAAAAAAAAAAATGTCAACTGCTATTTTTATTATCTTTATTCTATGAAGATGTCTCATGAAATTTTACCACTGGTAAAATCATGGTCCGATTATCTCATTTCCCTAAAGTACCGTGTTTCCTAATGAATAAATTCCCTTATAAGAATGAGAGTAGGGTATCCACAAACCTTTATATCCTATACCCAATCTAACAGTTCAAAAATATATTTTGGGGGGCCCACGATTGGGGGGCATTCCAATGTGTGAAAGAAAAATAGAGAGGAACCCACAGAATTGATCATACTGCAAGCACCACCTGCACCGCCACCTACCCTGCCTCTCTCCCAGCTACACAGGAATCATCCAAAAATCACACTTCAACATTGGAGCCCATCCTACCCACATATTCTCCTAGATATTTGAAAACATGGAAGAAAGTAAGACAGTTTCACATTTAAAAATTCCAATGATTATCTCCTTACCAGCTTCAACAGAGCAAATGCCCAGGTAATAAGCAGTATGCCCTTATGAGAAACCCAGAAACATACATTCTGATCCCAACCACCTTGGAATGCATCAGTGAATGTCTACATCTATAGAAAAGAGTCACCTCCTTTGTAGCAGTAGCATTTCATGATGATGATGATGATGATGATGATGATCTAATGTTAACTTATTCCGAAAACTGCTTTGTTGAATAAAAAAATCTAATATCTCTACAAAAATTCTTTGAAAAATACAATGAGGTTTTCTAAAACGTGCTCCAGACCACTGTGCTTTGAATTAAAAACGCAACTGTTTTTAATTCCCATTGCTGGGAATTATATGTTGGATTTCCAGTGTAATGATAAAGATTCAGGCACTCACAAGTAGGATTTTTAAATGGAATGTGAATGGAAAACTACAGAATAATTACATGACTAGAAACTGATCTAGCCTCGCCTTAGAATTCATCTTCCTGGCCCAGTGTAGCAGCTCCTGAGTTAATGAGTGTCCATCCCTTGGAAGGAAGTAGAGAGAAGAAAAGAAGAAGAAACTGCAAGAATGAACTTCCAGAGTATTTCTCATTCCTTCTTTCCTTCAAAGCAATCGGTAGCCAGAGCAAGCTGATCAGGTCTTCACTCTACAGACACTGAAGCTGGGTATCTCTCTGCAGTACCATCAGGGCCACACAGCTAAGAACAGACTACCCTCAATTGAACATCAATTTGCATTTTAAAGAGCCACTCAGAGATTAATACTAACAACAACTAACATTTACTGAGGGCTTACTATGTGTCAGGAACTTGTCTCATTTTAACCCCTTAACAAGCCTATGAATTAAGTGCATATTATTTTCCTCAATTACAAATGAAGTAAGTGAGACTCAAGATGGCCACTGCCCCCACCCCCACCCCCACCCTTGTCACACAGCTCATTTGTGGTAAAGCCAGTAGTCAGATGCCAGCACTGCAACTCCACAGCTCCTCCTCCTAACTGCTGCTATTGGGCTTCTCAGTATCCATTCCCTACCACCCAGATGATACACATCATCTCTCCAAAGACTAGAAATACTAATAAACAAAACTGAACCAAAAACCATTAAGCTATTTTAAGAAAACATTATGTTCTTCACATTTTTCCTCTCCAACCTGGTTTGGATTAAATATGATAATGCATAAGCCTTTAGCCAAGTGTTTGGCATAAAATAAGTACTTAGTAAAGGTTAGCTAGTAGTACTAGTAATATAACTGCTTATAATTACTATTATAGGATTTGTGTTCTTCCATGAATTCAGGCCTAACCAATTGGCCAAAACTCTCTAATATGTATCTCAATTTCTTTACACTCATTCTATGATGTCCACGTTTCCCTTCTTTGAAGGTCAGTGTTTTGACATAGTTTATTTGTAGTGGCCTATTTCTGCAATTCACGTAATTGCCCAGTAAAAGAATAAAGTTAATTCCCTTTTTCCCCCAAGACTATCAACTGCAGCATTTGTTCTGTTTAATGTCACTTTGGATTACTAAGAGACATAAAATCCCCAAACATAAACATCATTAAACAAAAACCTATTCAAGTGGAATAGAAAACACACTGAAGAGTCATCATTAATTCCTTAAAGTTTTTCTTTGGTTGTTTTTCTTGTTTCTGTTTTTGCTTTTTAAAGAACTCCACCCAAAACTCAAAGCACAGATACACAAGTACAGATGAAAATAATCAACCTCTCCCCAACATGAGCTACAAAAGCAGATGCCTTGGGCATCGGCATGCTGGGTTTACATGGACCATGTACTTGATGGTTAAAAACGGAATCATCTTGACTATTTTAACTTTGTTTATATTGCTTCCTAAAATATTGTGTTTGAGGGTTAGAAATAAAATTCAACCCTGTGAACGGCACATATCTGAAAGAACAGAAGGATTTATCTGTAGTTTAAATAGTGTGTACACATCCTTAAGCACATGGCACAACTTTCAATCAAAACGGTTTTGCAGCCTTACTGGACATTATTCATGATGCCCCAGGATTGCCTATCTTGACTATCTTCAGCCTCCAAGCCTGGCTTTCAGCACAGAATCCCAGGACTGGAGAGATAGGAAAGTCAGAGAGAACAAGAAATAGGCCCAATCTGTTTAAATGAGCCATAACATGATTGCATCCTATGGGAGTGAAACTCATGAAGAAATCAAATATAGTACAGTGAAAAGGAAAGAATAGCTGGTCAAACCAGCTTATATCCTGGCTCCCACTTAAGTAGCTGTGCAACCTTGGGCAAGTTATTTAAACTTTCTGGGCCTAAATTCCCCATAATATCTACTTTGAGGTGCTGCTTCTGGGATTAAATGAGATAACTTCTTTGAAAGTTCCTGGGCTAAATCCCTTATTTAAAACCAAAGCTCCAGTCAGTGAGCCCGGGAACTAAACTTTGACCTTAATACATATTTTGTCCTGTCCTTGCAAGAAAAGCCTGCTAGAGATACTCTGCTTCGTGCTGCAGGATTATAAATCACATGTGAGACGTTGATAGTGGGAAGATGCACTGATCAAAGGCTTCCATTAGAAAAGAGTGTGATGCATCATCTCAGGCTTAGTTTGTACTTTCGTGAACTGTCATATCAAGGTACACAGCAAAGAGAGCAAGCTAAATTATAAATTGCTAAAGAATGAGCTCAAAATCATGAAAAATTCCCAGAAATTAAACTTTCCTGTGTGTATAAATGCATGCTTAAATGTTATTATAAACGTAAGTCCAAGGTAAACCATAAAACTGGAAAATTTGGTGCAAAAGTCATTCCCATTTAGATCAAAGTTTAGATGTCTTTAAATTTTAGACAGCTAATCATCTGCCAATATCGTTCCCTTGATCTAAGTGGGAAACAACAAAGTAGGCACTCGTGATCATCCCTGTACAATGTCTGAAAAAAACAGCCCCACCTCCTTTCAAAACTAGAGCAACACCATACATTACCCATCCTGATGCTTGCAAGACCTCTCAGGACACCTGCCTGGTTATTCCCACTTAGGATAGTTTCACAAATAATAAATAAATTCAGAAAACAGAGGCCGTCTTTTAGTTTTCAAATTAAAAAAAATAAATAAATAAGTATGCACTGGAATGTCTCCACTGAAAGACCTTAACCATGGCTTTGAGTAAAGAAAGAGCTGGGGTCAAATGTAGGTGACAATGACATGGAGAAAACATTTCCTGGTCAATGTTTTCTAAACTTTGCCCCATGCTTGTTGTATCGAGTCATAGGCTATCAATCACCTTGCAAATCTAAAACCAACAGCTCTCCCCGAGTATACTCATAGGTCCAGTGAGAGAAAGCCAGCATCAGCTCCTCCAAGGTGTTGCTGGGGGCAATTTCATCACCATTGTTGTTATTGTACTTCCGAAACTCCCCCGTCATATACTTCTCAATGGTCAACCATTGGTTGGCTGAATGGCAGTAGATTAAGAAAACTTCCAGGAACCTATGAAGAGGAAAAAGAGGCCACTGATTCCCCACAAGACAGCAAAAGTGGGGGTTACATTACTGAACAGTCAGCAGCAGGGGACATTACCCAGCTCTGTTCTGATGCAGCCTCAATGCACAGGTCCTTGCTTTCTATGGAATGCAAAGAGTGGGGGTTTTCCCATGCTTACCCACCCCCCTTTTCTTTTAGGAAACTCTTTTATGAGTACCAAATTCAACTTTTCTTGCCATGTTCTATAACATTCCTTGTAAATAAAACAGTAAAATATTACTATAAGTCCTCAGCACTGAATTATGCCCTGTCTTGGTAAATGAATGCAACTGTAGGAGACACTCAAGTCAAAGAAACGAGAGTTCACTCTTATAAAGTTTCTACTGTCTATATGATATTAGAGGAAGAAACTATACTTAAAATATAAATGGTTTTCTGCCAAATTGTTCCTGGACATTAGTAACTACACCAAGGATCTGCCTGTTTCAGGTAGAGAAGTTAGTCATGGCCTCTGCCTGAACTTATCTTTTCCACCCACATAAATTCAGTGATTTATGTATCCTTGGGATGTCTAATTCTCTTTTTACCAGTCTCCAGAACTATGAAAGGTAGAACCCAGAAATAAGCCTTAAGGAACTTCCCCATGGGTCTCGTATTTCTCATGACTAATAGCGCTGAGAAGAAATTGATAGAAATTCCTACTTAAAATGAAGGGCCAGGGTGCCAATACTTCCTCACCTTGGTGTATAGGGAACGGTTTGTGGTTTCACTTGGTTGAAGGTATAGATCAGTTTTTGAGCAGCTCTTTGTTGTTGAATTTCCTACAAAATAAGGAGCATTGATAAAAATATTGGTTTACTATCACATACCTACTAACTAATGATCATACTTTCTAGAGGTCTCCCAAGAAGATTTTCCACTTTACTCAACTCCCACCGTTCCCCACTCCAAAAGCAAAAGCTCTACAAAACAAATGTAACAAATACCACCACTTCCAAAAAAGAATAGGCTATCCTTTGTGTTAAAGATAATGACCTTCAATCAGGACATAGCCAGATCTCCTTTCTCTGACCTGTCCATCTGGGCTCTGGGTCTCTGACTTACCCTAAGGCAAAGATGAAGCACAGTATGCTCCTGGAAGATGTTGTGCCATGTCTGCACAACCTCAGGAAGAAAGGACTTCACAATGAAAACCTGCCCTGGCTTAAGAATGTCATCCTCAGACCAGGTACTGATGACTCTCATGGCTTTGCGGAGGCCACCATCCATCTCCTCTCGGGACAACACCTGGATTATTGCAGCTCTCCCACGCTGGGACCAAGAAGACATGCTTTTATCAAGATTCAATGGGGAACTCTCCTCCAGCCTGTAGACAGTTACTTCTTCTCCTGCTGCAAAGAGAAGTGTAGATGAGGAGTTCAGTGAGATCCCATGTCTGTGATATGGACAGCATCCTAAATATCAACTCAGAATCAGTTCACTTTCCCAAATGATCAGAGGAGAATGAGAATTTTACCTACATGGGAACAAGCAGAAAACAAAGACATGGATCTGGCCATGTTTCTGTGTTATTTATTGTCCAGTAAAGAAGCAGAGGGGGAGAAGGGAGAAAGCATAGGATGATATATAAGAATTAAGTTGCTCTTATTGTGGACTATAGCTGGGCAAAAACAAAGTCAAAGTAGTAAAGATATGCTTCTTTCATTAAAATTCAAATACTTCTAAAGTGATAGCTCAACCCATGTTTTTCATTACCATCCCCCTTATGAGATTAGACATTTCTTCTAATTTTTCTAAAATGCCTCTCCCATGACATTTTAATACCAAAGATATACTGTATATCTGTTTGTGTGCTGTATACACAGTGCTTTATATATATATATATATAAAGGATGTTTTTTTTCTCCCTTGGAAGTGATAGCACCCCCATTGAGAATGCATGCTTTAACCCAGTTGAGTTAGACAAAATTAAGGTCATACCCCCGAGATTCTCCCTCCATCCTTTGTGCCTTTGGACAAGTTACTCAGAGCCTTATTTTTCTCATCAGTAAAATGGGTATGAAAGTAACTCTCCCCTCTTTGGGCTATAAAGATTAAATATGTTAACCTGGCTAATGTGAACTGGAATCGCAGATACAAACTAATCCCCACTTAAAAGATTTTAGACACAAAATGCTCTTTAACTGCTATATAGATTTTACTTTTAGGCTGTTCAACAGAGAACAATAAGAATTCAGCCTAGACCCCACCTAACACAATGTTCAATGCTTCCTGACAGAAGTAACATATTCTATAAACAACTTCAGTCCAGCCTGCATTTACTTCTCTCCTTTCACCTCTGCTTCAAATGGCTTTTGTTGTGTGTGAACACTGTACTAGTTAGCTTACCAAGAAAGGAATCTATTTGTTCACGCTTGTGTTTAATTCCTTACTAAAAAACATGTCTAGGTAGTGCTTAGTAACATATTTTCAAGTGTTTATTCTTGGTGCCCAGATAAATGCCACTGAAGTACCTAGAGGATTTAGAGCAGGGTTGCTGAGTTGCAAAACCAGCCATGGAGCCAAGTGGAAGGAGAAAGCATCTGCATCAATAATCAGAAGCCACTTGATCTGTCCCCATATGAAGAGTGTGAAGAGAATCAAGATCTAGGACAGTGTGGGGACCCTTGTTACATGGTCGGTCGGCTGGACAGAGAAACTCTGGTAGCCTTGTCTAATGCAAGCTTGCTTTTTTTTTTCTTTTTTTTTTACTACTCCAGCCTTTCAAAATGATGTTTGCTGTCTGAGCTAAGAGCAATTAGCTTACACAAAATAAAATAAACACATAAAAAGCATTTCTCTTCAGATGCCTGTAGCTTTTACCATATTGACATGTATCACTTTCTTCTGTGTTTATTATACATGGTTGGTTGGTTCCTTTCTTTCCTACTTACTTCCAGCCTTAAATCAGTGAATTTCAGGTGCAACATTATTGTTTTTTTCCCAGCTGCTGCTCATTATCAGTCCCATTCCCATAGTATTAGATTTTGACCCTAGGAGCCAGCCGGGTGGTTAACAAGAGTTTCTGTTTTAGGAAATTAATCTCACTAAACTGCTACCATCAGCAAAACAAAATTTTCAACTAAAGTGATTCAAAATGGTTTCCCCATTGATTTACTCATACGTTATGCCTCTGCCCTTGGCACAGCCTCAAGAAGGTGGAAATGGCACTCACCAAAGAGTTGGATTGGTGTAAATGGTATAGTCTGAGAAAGCCTCATTAAATTGTTCCTTTCAATGGCTGTAAACAAAAACAAATTTACAAAACCAGATTTGAAGTATGCATCAGTAGGCTGAATCTATAGCAAGCCTCCCATATCAATTTATTCATATAATACTAAAATATTTCATTTCAAAGACCCCTTATTTTTACCTTTATCAAAAACATTATCTATAATACAGTATTTTAAATGAACTATGCCTTAAACAGTTAGGATATCCCAGTCTTAGGCACAGATTATATAATATTACATAACATGGTCTGAGGTGGGGCTTTCACCTTCACTCTCCCGAATATCAAATTACATACAAATCCATACATATATGGAACTTTCTTTTAAAGGGCACTTTAACCTGTGGTCTTCATTTTTGTTTTTTCTTTTCCAGAGCAGATCTAATGCACAGTGGACTGTGGGGACATCTACTGTTGACTTTGCACAGTTCACCTTCTTTTCCCACAGAGGGCTAAAGACCAATTTTAATTAGAATCAAGTGATCTGCATTTTCCTGTTAAGAGCCATATCCTAACAGATCAGAGTCAATAGGAGTTACGGTATTCCTCACCAGAAACTTTCCTAATTTGACAGCTGGAGTCAAAATAATGGATTGCAGTTGAGCTGAAAGACTCAGTTTTAAGAGTCCGGGATATGGAGTCTGGAATCCACTGCAGCACTATTCACTACAGAAGAGAATTCAGGATAAGGCAGTCTATTATTGGACCCCAAATATATAACCTTGATATAATAATAATGGTAATTATCACACTATTAAACTCTTACTCATGTACTGAGCTTCAGATCGTGTAAAAAGCTTGCTTGTGTATTATCTCATCCAATGCTGCGAGTAATGACACCCAAAAGACCACCGGATGGCATGAGGCCAGCTGCTGGTTATATTGCTTTGCATTTCAAAGTCTTTCCCTCTTAATTTTCAACTAGCCCATTGGCAGATTGTTCCTTGGGAAAGGCAAGTGCAATGATTCCCACCTTGAAAGAAAGACACTTGAAGCACTGTGAAGTGATGTTGCTTAAGAGTCAAGACCCTTGACATCTTGTTTAATAACATCCTTGTAAGGTGTCTTTCTTGAACTTACTCTGTGGGTTATGTTCTATAACATTCTATGGCTATGTTCACTGAGGACCCAGTGAGGGTACAAAACCCTCCCTCCCAAAAACTGGCCTCAGGCCTATCTCTTCCCTAATCCAAAATGTGGAGGTCTCTGGCTATGGGCTGGCTTTGAGCTTGCAAGGAATTGTTAGATCTCAAGATCATCTTTCCTCTTCACAACATGGAACTTGCCAATACAAACAAACATTTTTTTTTTAAACCAACACTTTCTTAAATCCATATTTCCCCAAGTCAATGGCAAGGTAAGAAATCTAAAAGTTCTTCTCATCAGAGTGAACAACTTTTCCAGTTGGGAGCTATATCAATACTACAAATTCATCAAAGTTTCTGTTTACGATGCAGAATCACAGACATTCAGCACAGTTGACATGTCTATGTGCACATGCATCCTACCTGAATAATGATGGTGAGGCTCTTGAGGGCTTTTTAAGGAGGCTGAGATTTCTGAAATTATAGAGAAGATTGGCATTTTAATTACTTGGCTGGAGATAAATACATGCCTCTGAATATATTGCCTTCAAAGTTATTGTTGAACAGGTTAATCAGAATGGCTTCTTGGTATTCGAGAAAGATTGCCTAATATCCTTTAACCGCATTATTGCACATGGTATCCTGACAGCTTCCAATCATCAATGCAATATCTCCAAACATATTTATGTAGGGAATTGAAGAAAGACAGGTAATATTAGCCTCAAAGATGTATTTCCTCCGAACCAATTACACCTCTGGGTTGCAGAAGGCACTCAGCTGCCCATCACACTTCATGACATCCCAGAAGCACAATTCTCTGAGCTCCCTACCAAGAAGCAGTACCCATATAAAGACATTATTAATACCAAGTTATTAGCAGACGACTTTACTGACCTAAAATGACAACAAAATGATGGAAACACATTAAGAGGTATATAACAGAAACAAAGGAATGGGTAGAGAATTTGACACCAAGGGATTTGTTTGGTTACAGAAGGACTGTGCTGGGAACACCTCCTGCAAGTTTAACTCCTCTATGTGCTCCAGTCCTAAATTACAAGGCTCCAGAGAAATCCTTTGCAACAGTTTTGCCATTTCATAAAATCAAAATTAAAGTGGAGAACTTCAGTCTCATGGTGGCAACTGCTTTATACCTAGTAGAGTAAGCAGCATAATGAGCCCAATTTCATAGATCTCTCTGGCTTCTTGTTGCTGGATAAGGAACAAAAATCCCTTCCTTTGGGAGTACTTGATAAAAAGTGGGATCAGCAGAAAAGCCTTTTCCTTTTGGAGTTCATTCAATAACGTTAATAATAATAATAAAGTATTCAGCCCCCATATAGGTCATGATAGGTGTGACAGATGTAAGATGTGTCTCCCACCCCAGAGGAAAGCAAATACAAAACAGTGGGAGAGAAAGACATGTAAACTATAATTACAATATAGTTTGCTAAGTTATATAATAGAGGTGTATAGAGAAGCTTCTGGAAACTTCATAGACAAATAATGGGAAATACTTAAAGAGTATGGGTATCTAAGTCTGATAAAGCTGAGTTTCAATCCTGGCTTAACCACTTAAGGAGCTGTGAGATTTTGTTCACATTCACTCAACACATATTTTTTGAACACCTACTATATACCAGATACTGGTCTATGCTTGAGAGAAAGAGCAGTAATAAACACAGACAAAGTCTCTGACTACATTCTAGTAAAGGGAAATAGAAAATAAACAAACAAAAGAATATATAATGTACATAGTATTTTACTTACATATCTAGTGAAAAGGGTTAGGAAGTATGAGAAACAGGGAGATTACTATTTTATATAGGGTAGTTAGGCAAGGCCTCTTTGATAAGGTAAAATTGAGCATAGACCTGAAGGAAGAGAGGAGGAACGTCTTATAGATAAATGAAGAGCATTCCAGGCAGAGGCAACAGCAAGTGCAAACGCCCTGAGGCAGGACCGTGTTTGCGGTGCTAAGGAGGAGAGTGTGACCAGAGCACTGTCCTGAGAGAAAATGAAGTTAGAGAGTTGGAGGACGGAGAAGCTGATTAACAGGCCCTAGAGACCGTGTTTAGACTTTGCTTTTATAGAGTGCACTGGAACACCATTTGAACAGAAGAATGACTCAATATGGCTTTCAGTTTAAAAAGGTTATTCTGCTTGCACTCTGGAAATAGAAAGCAATAGTCTGGAGGAAAGGCCATCCTGTAATCCAGGGAAGAGATAAAGAGTGGTATGTAGAGGTACCAAACTGATCATATTCTTGGTATATTTGGAAGAACTTACTGATAGGTGAGATGCGGGGATGTGAGAAAATGGGAGATAAGTATGATTACCAGACTCTGGCCTCAGCAATGGATGGATGGAAGTGCCACTTCCTGAGATGGGGGAGAAGGAAGGTAGAACATTTTGTTTGAGATGGCTTCTAGACACCACGTGGAGGTGTTAATAGGTGGGTGGTCATATTCTGAATAGCATGAATATTGAATGTAAGGGTCCATGAACGTGAGCCTGGAAATTTGGACAGAGGAGAGGCTGTCAGGAGAAAGACTAAGTGATTTACAGCCTATCCTGTAGGTGAAGGGAAGCCATTGAAGGCTTCCACTAAAGTGATGATTGATTGTTCAGAAAGATAATTCCAGTAGGAACATGGGAAAGTTTAATGGGAAAGAAAACAACAACAATGCTAGCATAATATCAAGGGCAAGAGAAAATATACACTTTTTATTTAGGAAAATAAATGTTGGAGGCTTTAAGGCAGGAGCAGTGGGGTAGAGCAAAACACACAGCCTCTAAAGATGAGGGAGGAGATAATATAGAGTTAGAAGGCAAAGTTGATAGCTAAGAGTGATGGTACGGAGGGCACTGTAAATAACTAAGATTTCCAATTTGGATGACAGAAGAGGAGGCTATCAGAGAGACCAAGAGTCAGTCAACAAAGAAAAAGAAGAATACCTAAGGAAGAATAGCCTCATGAAAACAGAAAATGGGTAAAATGGTCAACGTCAAATGCCATGAATTTGATGAGGACTAAAAAGGGGCCACGTGACTTAGCTGTTAGAGTGGAGTTTCCGTTGAGTGTTAGGGACCAACACCATGGGCTGATGATCAAATGTTAATGCTTTATCAATTAATTTGGAGGTGAGGGAGGGACAAGAGTGGCAGTTTGAAAGCTAGGTAAATATCAAGAAAAAGAGTATTTTCTTCTTTTATATAGAAAATGACGTAAATGTGTTTGTAGGTAGAAGAAAAGGAATTGACTGTAAAGGATACCAGTATGGAAAACCCAATAAGCAGGGTGAAATAAGGTCATAGAAGAGGAAGGTGCCCAATCTATATCAAGGAGTCAAGAATATGGGAAAAAAGCTCACAGGTTGTGGTGAAGTTTGACAGTAGTTATTAAGAGTGACTTTACTAGGGAGTTGTCTCACATGGCTTACCTCTACTTAGCCATTCGGGGCAGAGTCCTTCTGAAGCCATATAGAAAAAAGTATCCACATACAATTTTATGAATGGCTCTTAATGAGCTATATGTTAAAAAGTGACAGCAAGAGTGGTTAAAAAGTCTAAATGAGCTCAGTGGTTATGCCCTCAGTCCCAGAGAAACTGGAAAATCAGTCAAAAACAGGTAATTCAAAAAATTTTAAACCAGATATCAGTCCTGATTTATCTGGAGAAAGACAGTCAACTTTCTACCTTTCTACTAAACTTTCTACTTTGCACAGTAGATAAAAATCATAGATAGAACTTCAAGAATGACAAAAATCTCAGCAAAAGAGTAAACGTCATCATTAAAAAGATGAAAACCTAAAATGTTTAAATATAAAAACTTACTGCCAACTCCATTTGAACTTCTCAACCTGTTTGAAAAATTAAAGTTGTTTAGATAACGCTTTAAATTTTTCAGTTATCAAAGGAAAAATATGTTAGACAGTAACAATACAGTCTATATGTACATATATGTGTATGAGTATGTATATATCTATTTCTTTGAAAGAAAAGTATCAGTTACATCCAATCCCTATCTTTATTAGTGGAGAAATAGTTTACAGTTCTATAATTATTTTCATAGAAAAATGAACACCAGATATGCATGTAATTCACTTACTATATATGCCCTAAGCTAACTAAAAACCAGTTGTTGGTTTTGGTTTTAATTAGCTATGCGATCGCACAACATATATAAGATTTAACTGTGTTTGTGTTGTTCTGGATCAATTAAATTAAAGGGTTCCTGAACTATGCAAAGCAGATGCCTACAAATTAGTCTGTGTATGTCTCCAGACAAGCCTACAAATCAGTTTCATTAGCCCACGTGGCCCCTAAATGTTCACAGGCTGAAATTAGCTCTCTTTAAATTGTTACTTGCCCTGCTTAAGTGCACAAGTAGCCACAGGCAAGTCTGAATAAATGCATTCAAAGAATATCTCCAGTATTTAAAGTCCTCGGGGAAGAAAGTACAATTACAATTATTGTTTAATTTCATGCTGCAATAACCCACTACTTTGCATGAACACAAACTACTGAACCTTTGGGAGAAGAAAGTCATGTGCACTTTAAGACTAGAGGAAGGCTTGCACAGAGAGACCTTGAGGGGAGCTGCAGGAAAAAGGCCACCTCACATGGAGCTGGCTTCAAACTGAAAGTCACATTCCACCCACTTTGTATCAACTGGCCCTTTGCAGAGTAGATGGTTTTGAATTCTGCTCCTATGCCTGTATGGATAATTAATTTGATGATGTAACTGGAAAAGTCCAGAAACATGAGCAACAAAATAGAATAATCTCTGCTTGGCTGGTTTTCAAATTTTATTTCTCTGAATAAATAAAATTCCAGGAGGATACTCAAGTCTACAATCATGTGAGTTCTCTCTCTCTACTCTCTCTCTTTTTATCCTTCTCTTCCTTTCTCTCTCTGTCTCCATTCTTCTCAAAGAGTAACTATTTTGACAAACACTTAGGATGTTAATGAGGAACCAAAAATAAAAAAGATCAACCTCATAACCAAGAAGAAAAAAAATTTTTAACAAGAATTATTTTTACATTTAAGAAAAAATATAATCAGGTCTTTAGTCTAAGTCTTTTTATTTGGTGAGACAGTTTTATTTTTACTCTTTAATGAAAATTTCACAATCATCTATCAGGAAAGATATGATGCTACTTATGGCATGTGTGCTTTTTTTGACACTGAAAAGACAAATGTTTAATTTGCTGAAGTAGTAAGATGTTTCATTATATTCTTAAAAGGTACTGAAATGAGATCTTATTGCCAGAAGCAGGAAAACTGGGAGAAAAACATGATTTTTCACTCTTGCTAACCAAAGAAAAATATTGTCATTGGACACACACTTTTATTCTCCTTTTTAACCAAATTAAACCTGTGTTCCCAATCGGGTTAGAAAAAACAGAAGCCAACGGTGCTTCCAGACAGACATGCAGAAATACTCACAGGGAGTTCCTATTGAGGCTGGTGCTCCGGGAATTCCACAAAGCGTTTTTACTCAGATCCTGGGCAGAAGGGCAAGGTCAATTACATGTTCACCCAATATTCTCCCACCCCAAGTTTCCAGTAACACATTTGCCAAACACACTCTTTGGAGGGTATAGCTGTATCCCCCCCCCCCCCGCCCACTTCCTTTAGCTCAACATTTCTCTTTTACTAAACATACTAAGCCTAAGATAGAAAGATGCATAATGTTGGCACAAAATCAGAGTAACTCAATGTGTTGACAGACTTTAACAGAATGAAATTACTTTTATGAGGACATCAAAGAGAAAATGCAATATACAGGTTTTCACAGAAATGAGAGTGAACATACAAAATCAGTTAATAACATGAAAGAAGAAATGAAGGTCACCGTTGACAGGAAACATCAATCATTACATTATTATGTCCTATCATCAGGAGATTATTGTTTCAGTTGGTTATTTAGAATAACCTTACCCTGAAATTATCTCATTCTATTTCCTACTTAGGTTCGACTATTATTTCTTGAAACCTACACTGCAGGCATTACTCTAGGCATTTTTATTGGTGTTATTTTTATTATCCACTATCAATAATTTCATCAGGGTATCATTAGCCCCATTTTAGAGATATAGCTACTGAAGCTCATAGGCTAATTGATGTACATAGCTTTGAAATCTAGGAAGCGGCAGAGCCAGGATTTGACAGGGCACGCAGGTCCCTGTCTTCATTTACCATCAAGCAGTCTTAACATTTTACTCTTAAAATCTTTCACAGGTTACATTCCTACAGGAACATCTGAGGTTGCTAGAATACATTTATACAGGTAATGTGTGTATAGTTCCCAAGTTCATAGAGATAATGTTCAAACTGAAACAAAATTAGATTTCTTTGGTTAGTCTAACTACACCAAATTCCCCACATGGTAGATGGCAGTAAAACAGGCACATTTTTGTAGGTGGTAAGAACAGACTGCAAAGTCGCAGAACCTCAGTGTTGGAGAAACACTGAGGGTCCTTCACCCAGCAATACCCGCATCCCAGAAGGACTCCAACACATCTGCAAAGAGGTTTGCTCAGCCACTTTGACTAATCACACAAAGTGAGAAACTCAGTACTTCCAGAAATAAACCATTCCATCCTTGGAAAGCTCCACTTGCTAAAAATTCCTCCTCAAATTGGGCTGAAATCTGTCTCCCAGCAGCTTCTATATGTTGATTCTAGCTGTACCTCTTAAAAGCGTTTTCAAAATATCTTATTTTACTTCCACATGGCAACTTTCATATATTTGAAAACAGTTTCAAAAGTTCCTGGATTCTTTCTTTCATGCTGAAAATACTCGGGATAAATTATTGAGTGAATAGATAAATTGCATGAAGAAGAACAAGGAAATAATAAAGTGAGGGGTAGGGGGTGAAAAAACTGAGCAAGTATTCAAAGAAAACGTTTAGATGTAATACACAGAATCCAATTAAGGGACATGAAAGTAAACCGAACACAGTTAAGGAGTTAGAGAAGTGCTGTGTGCATGTAAGTTTTTTTACAAAGTACAAGTATAAAATAAGGTTTTTACCTCTTGAGACTGCTTTAGATAATCACTGACTTGTAAAGCATGCCGTTCAATTTCTTTAGTTTTCATTTTCTGATAAGCACTAGGTTCTAGACCTTGTTAAAAGAAAAAAAAAATAGAGAAAACATGAAAATGTGTTACATTCAAATCACAGTTCCCAAATAGAAAGATCTGAACATAGTGCATTCATTTAAATTTGAATATAGTGTTTTTTTTCTCTTTTCAGCAAGTTTTACCAAGATTCTTTTGTCCTCTTTTCCAAGTAGTTGAAAACTATATATACTATTTTTATTCTCTAGTAGTTACTTGTAGATTTATAACAATTTATACTTCCCACTCAAAGTCAAGAATTAAATTATCCATACCATGCCCTCCTATAAAACACCTTCTCCTGCACCTTATCGTCCATGATTTAAAATAAATGAAAGTTTAGTTCTAAATTGTTATGAATCCTTCCTTAACAATTGCATCAAGCATTATGGTAGGCTACTTTAAAAAAAAAAAGCAGAAATAAATAAAAAAATAGAAAGGAATGCCAGCAAATGGGTTTAACTTTTAGACTTTTTTTTAAAAAAGATAACAAGAATCATTGTTATTATTTTTTTAATATCTGATACCTACACATTCACTGACATATAGTGGTTGGATTAAACCCCTTTTGATCATCGGACTTAATGAGATGCTTCCCAAGACTCCTCCTGCCGCCCCCATCTTTCTCTGTTTGAAATTCATTGGAAAGAACTTAAATAATTTCGGGGGAGGAGGTTGGTGAAATGGCTAAAAGTGGTCAAGAAGTAACAAACATCCAGTTATAAGATAAATAAGTCCTGGGGATGTAATGTACAGCATGGTAAGTATAGTTAACAATATTGTATTGTACAGTTGCAAGTTGAATCTTAAAAGTTCCCATCACAAGAAAAAAAAGTTGTAACTATGTGTAGTGATGGATGTTAACTAAATTTGTGTGGTAATCATTTAAAAATACATACATATATCAAATCATTATGTTATACACCTGAAACTTACACAATGTTATATGTCAATTATACCTCAGTAAAACAAAAAATTTAATAATTTAAGTAAGTTAAGTAGGTTATTTACAGTAACCTAAATATCAGACAATCTGTTTAAAAATATATATGCACAATATAAATATACATTAATAAATAAAATGAATACATTTATAATTGGTCCTAGAATCATATCTTTAGGTATAAGATTTGATTTATTCAAAATTATGGGCTCTAGTACACTGTGTGATTTAAGGCAAGACAATTAAGCTCTGAACTCATATCTGTAAATTGATGGTGTTCTGAATAATTTAATTCCTAATGTCTCTTTTGGCTTAGAGCCCATTTGATTCTCAGTGATTTAACAGACAGTTGAGTTTTTTAAAATATAAATCAGGGTTTATCAACCTTGACATTTTAGGCTGGATAACTCCTTGTTAGGGGTGGGTCTGCCCGTGCATTGTTCAATGGTTAGCAGCATCCTTGACCACTGCCCCTTGGTTGGAAACCACCAACCATAAGAACAAGCGAGTTTTAAAGGAGCAACATCTATTTGCACCTTAAGTTTAGTATTTCAAATAATTTTAAATCTACATAGCCCCTTCTCTTTAAAAATTAGTAAATTCCCTTATTATCTAAGGCAAGAAGTTCGAAGTTCTAATTATTGCTCTCAATTCAGTTCATAATCTGTCCTCATCTTCCCTGTCCAGGCTTCTTTCACGTTCTATGCCTAGACCATAGTCTTCATTCCTAGCTGGTTGACCCATCTTCTAACCTCCACACACACAATGATTATTAAAATTAAGGGATACTGGGCCGGCCGAGTGGCGCGATGGTTAAGAGCTCACTTGGGATGCCAGAGGGCCCCGGTTTGGATCCCACATATGAGGGCCAGTGACACTGCCCTCTACAGCTAAGATGCTGAACAGCAGCTCAACCTGGAGCTGGGCTGCTTTGAGTCGCCGGCGACGGCGTGGGCTGCAGTCCCTGTGGCAGTGGGTTGCCATGGGCTACTGTGTGTAGCCAGCAGCCAGCGTGAGCAGCCAGCAGCCAGAAAAAAAAAAAATTAAGGGATACTTGCTCATGGAATAAACACTATTTGTCAGCAGTAGTAAATAACCAATTCAACTAGATCCACTGAGCTCTGTGTAAGTGTCCATATCAATGTCACATAAACCCTAACACTATAAACTTAGACAAACCCCACCCTATAAATTAGACTAACAGGACACTGAGCCAGATTCAACAGCTCTGAATATAAAATACTATCTAAATCTTAATTTTCTTTTCTGGATTCTGACAACTATTCCATTTGACAAATGGAAATTTTGGCACTCTCATAAAAATTAAAAACAGAAAAGAACTATTTTCCTAAGAGGGTGTTGTCAGCCTCCCATTCCTTCATTTTCAAGCAAAAGAACATCAGGGCCCACCAGTGGTCTAACACCACAGCCTGGTAGGGGAGACTCTACCAGAGTTTTGGGGGTCCAAGAGTGCAAACTGTTACATACTTAACTGACTAAATTTGGACACCGTCAGCCAGTTCTTCCTGTACTCCTCTTCTTCTAATATGTTATTTTCTCCTCGCTCTGAATTTGATTGGTTACTTTGAAAGCAGGCATTGACTGTTATGACCTGGAGAGAAAGACACTCATTGGAACACAGTGATATTAATCTGAAAACATTGGGTCACATTAATATAGGTACCACGGTGAAGAGCAGTAGTTGTTTTAACACTGGCTGCCTTTTAGAATCACCCAGGAAGCTTGGGCTTCCCATCACTCATGCTGGCGGTTCACAAGCATCCATGGGACTTTTCTATTTGCAGTCCCGATTGAAAACCAGAGTTCGGGGAGCAGGGCTTCTCAAAGTTGAATGTGCATCAGAATCAACCAGAACTGTGTTAAACCATAGAACACTGGGCCCCACCCCCAGATTCTGTGATTCAATAGGTCTGGGGGGAGGGAGAATTTGAATCTCTAGTAAGTTTTCTTGCTGACAGGAGACCACAATTTGAGAAACAATGGTATAGAGAAACAAAAGGGGGGAAAAAAAACATAAGACTTGGATCTTGAAGAGCTTGTGTTAGAATTTTAGCTCTGTCACTTAGAGGCTATATGAACTTGGGCAAATTACTTAATGTCTATGAGTCCCATTCCTTCATCATTAAAATAATAAATAGCCAATAATAATGGTGCCTTATGTACTTTCCAGGGGCAGAGAAGAAATGAGGTTAATTGATAAACTACAAAGCAATAAGCAAATGAAACTTATTAGTACTTGAACTCAGTTGCAATTCCTAGTTGAACTCTGGCCATTTTAACTATTCCACAAAAATAAATCTACTTAAATTCAAATTTCATGGGGTTCACGAGCTCATCGCATATTTTCCTAAAAGAGCCTTCCTTATAAAGCTACATCTCTCAGTGATTTCATACCATTGTCTCAACATTTACCTCTTTGCTTCTGCTTCTCATTGTAAAAAAAGCTGAGGTGCTTTAAAAAATGTATCAAGATTATTTTATGGAAAAAACATATGTAGAATTGAAAGTGAAACAGGGCATTAAGATCATGAAAGATGAAGTCTTGTAGAATAGCTAACTCAGATCTAAAGCTTCCTAACAATAAACAAAAATATTCACTAAATGAAAATGAAAACATCATATATCAGAATATGTAAGATATAGCTAAAACAATTCTTAGAGGGAATTATATAGCACTAAATGCCTGAAAGTCTCAAATCAATGACCGAAGCTTCTACCTTAACAAACTAGGGGTAAAAAAGAACAAATTAAACCCAAAGTAAACAGAACAAAGGAAATAATAAACTTAAGAGCAGAAATCTATTAAATAGAATTCAGAGAAAACTCAAGAGTGGAAACCAAGAGTTAGTTCTTTGAAAAGATTAATGAAACAGATAAACCTGTAGCCAAACTGATCATGAGACAAAGGAAGAAAACACAAATTTTAAATATTAGGAATGAAAGGAGTGATGTCACTACAGATTGCACAGACAATAAAAGGATAATAAGATACAACTATGAATACTTTATGCCAATAAATTCAACAACTTAGGTGAAATGAACAGATTCTTTGAAAATTACAAATAAAGTTCATCCAGGAAGAATCAGATAGCCTGAAGAGCCCTATATCTATTACAGAAATTGAATGTGTAGTTAAAAACTTTCCCACCAAGATGGTTTCGTTGGTTAATTCTACCAAATAATTAATGTTGAAATAATATCAATTCTCTACAAACCCACCCAGAAAACTGAAGAAACAAGAACACTTCCCAAATCAGTCAATAGGCCCAGCATCACCCTGATACCAAAACCAAACACATTGCAAGAAAAGAGATCTAAAGACAAATAGTTCTCCAAAATATAGATTAAAAAATCTTATCAAGGTTTTAGCAAAATGAATAGAGCAGATAAAAGAAAAGGTAATACATCATGACCAAGTGGGATTCATCCCAGCACGGTTGATTTAATATTCTAAACATTAATACTAACATTATAAAATTAATTAATATAGGGCTGGCTGAGTGGCTCAGTTGGTTAAGAGCTCACTCAAGAGTTTGAGCTCTGAGCAACAGCAGTTTGATTCCCAGCCCGAGCTGAGCTGCCACTGAGCTGCCAACAGGTAGCAGGATGGGTCAGCTAAAAATAAATAAATAAATAATTCATATAATTCATCATATTAACATAATAAAAATGGAAACATCATCTAATCATATAAGTAGATGCAGAAAAAGCATCTGACAAATGTCAACACTAATTAATGATAAAAATTCTCAGAAAACTAGAAACAAAAGGGAAGCTCTTCAACCTGATAAAGGGCATCTATGTAAAAACCTATAGCTAATATCATACTTACCAGTAAAAGACTAAATGCTTTACCTCTAAGAGTAGAAACAAGGAAAGGATAACTGTCTTCGCCACTTCTATTCAGTATTGTACTAGATGGAGGTTCTAGTCAGTGTAATTGGGCAAGAAAAAGAAATAAAACACATCCAGATTTGAACGGAAAAAGTTAAACTATCTTTATTTGTAGAAAACATAATCTTTTATTTAGAAAATTCTAAAGGAGCAACAAAAAAGTACTCAAAATAAGTAAGTTGAGCAAGGTTGTAGGATATAAAAATCAATGTTGTAAATAATCAAGTTATTCATTTAGTGAATATTTCTATATACCAACAAATAACCAGAAATTTAAAATTTTTAAATAATTGTATCTATATAATAAAATAAAATAATTAAATACTTAGAAATACATTTTTTTAAATCATGTGCAAGACCTGTATGCTGAAAACTGCGAAACATTGCTGACAGAAATTAAAGACCTAAATACACAGACAGATACGTCATGCTCATGGATCAGAAAACTCGTTATTGTGAAGATGCCAATCCTCCCCAAATTGAGATACAGCAATTCCATTCACCCCAGCAGGCTTCTCTGTAAAAATTGACAATTTGGCTCTAAATATACGTGGAAATGCAAAGAAACTGGAGTAACCAAAACAACTCAGAAAAAGTAGGAAAAAAATTGGTAAACCTACATGATTTCAAGACTTATTATAAAGTTATAGTATACAAGATATGAGCATGACATTGGCATAAAGATCAACATAAATAAACAGAACAGAACCCAGAAATAGATCCACACTATGGTCAATTAATTTCCAAAAATGCTCAATTAATTTCCTATTATAACTCAATAGAAAAAAGATCATCTTTTTACCAAAATAAAAAGGTAGAAAAATTTGATATCTGTGTTCAAGAAGGGAAGGAATGAAGAAAGGAAAGAGGAAGGATGAGACCTCAATTGTTACCTATTACCATGTACAAAAATTAACTCAAAATGGATACTAGACCTAAATGTAAGCTCAAAAGCTATAAAACTCCTAGAAAAAAAAATAAAATAGAAACTCTTAGTGATCTTAGGTCTGGAAAATTTTCTTAAATAAGATATAAAAAAACATAGACTATAAAAGAAAAAGTAGAACATTGGACTTGATCAAAATAAAAATGTATATGCTTCAAAGGACATTTATGAAAAGTAAAAGGCAAGCTGCCAACTGAGAGAAAATATTTTCAAAACATATATCCAACAATGGACTTATATCTAGAATATATAAATAACTCTTACAACTTAATTACAAAACAAACAACCCAATTTTTAAATTGGGCAAAAGAGTTGAACAGACATGTCACCAAAAAGATATATGGATGGCAAATAAGTATGTGAAAAGATACCTAGCAGCACTAGTCACTATGGAATGCAAATGAAACCACCATGAGATAGCACTACACACCCACTGATGCGGCTAAAATTAAAAGGACTGAGCACACTCAGGATGATAAGGATGTAGATTGCTATAATGCTTATAAACTATTACTCATAAACTGGTGGGAATGTGAAATGGTACAACCACTCTGGAAAGCAGTTTGGAAGTTTCTTCTAAAATTAAACAACTAGTTAACCATATGACTCTGACATTCCACTCCTAAATATTTACCAGAGAGAAATTAAAACATATGTCCACAGAAAGACTTGTGCACAAATGCTCACAACAGCTTTGTTTGGAATAGCCAAAAAACTGAAAATAAGGCAAATGTCCTTCACCATGTGAGCTGATAAATGAATTGTGGCATATCCACGCCAATGACTCCTAAATTTATATCTTCACTCCTTCCAGTACAATGTTATTTTGAGGACGTGGCACTTTAAAATAAGGAGAAAACAAACTAAGACTTGCTACTTCCTCAATTGCCAAAAACATAAAAGATACTTACTGGCACCTGGAGTCCTGGTATTTTCTTCTTTTTCGTTGACAGTCTCCTATCCTTGGTTAACGTTTTTGCTTTAATCCATGCCGACTGCCCACTCTCTGAGGATCTTGAAAGATCTGTTAGGAAAATGGTTTACAGGAGAAAGTTTAAGTTGGTACAGGGAACTATTTTGTTTTATAGAAAGGACTGAGAGAATGGGGAAAATGAAAATGCAATCAAGTCATAGATTTGTTTTTAAAAGTAGCAATGCAGGGCCAGCCCTGTGGCTCAGTTGGTTAAGAGCTTGCTCAAGAGTGTGAGCTCTGAGCAACAGGGTTGCTGGTTCAATTCCCAGCCCAAGCTGAGCTGCCAGCTGGATGGCTCAGCTAAAAAAAAATGAAATAAAAATAAACTTAAAAATTTTTTTTAAAAAGTAGCAATGCAAAAGATTTAATACGGAGGCTTGTTTTTAATATTTACTTCTTACTTTTAATGTTATAGATCTTCAATTTCTCCTCCTTGTGGAATTTCAAGCTACGACTCCTAACGAAGGGCCTGTCTCTGTGGAGAGGGTTGCCCCAAAAGGACGTGTTTGGCTGGAGCCCTGATCCCACCTCTGAGTCATCACTACTCAGGACCAATTCTGTTGAGTTATCCGATAGGGATCCGTCCAGTATCTGCCTCTGGCATTGTCCACGCTGACTGGAGTCACTGTTCCAAGTGGAGGCCAAGCAGGTTTGCCATTTTTTCTTGATACTAAACACACCAGTTTCATCACCTTCTGAAAATGCCCAGTTCACATATCCACCTCCAGTTCGCATGCTCTGAGCTTGGGAAGGGAGGGAGGCCACTTTCATGGGTGCACGTGTGCACATCACAGTGCGTAGAACCTGCTCTCCCCTGTCATGCCTGCCTGGTATTTGAGCGATTGTATCATACTGCACTTTGGGTTCAGCCACTGAGCCCTGACTGGAGAACACTGGAGTTTGCCAAGTCAGATGAACAGGGACCTCACTCTGGATGACCTGTTCAGTTGCCAGAACACCTGTACCTCCTTCCACAGATGGTCTGGATGGAGGCAAATCATGTTCTGCAGAAAAAGGAACTTGCTTTAGATTAGAAGGGACCAGAAGAAATTTGCCATACTTTGGATGTGCTTGCCTGTCAAGGGATACCCTAGAAGCCACTATACTCTTTTCTGTTTCTTGTTCTTCCTGTTCATTTCTTACATTTGAAGTCTCCCTCTGACTGTCTGTAATGTCAAGAAGGGCCCCCCTCTGCACTCTTGGAGGGTGCTGGCCTCTGGCCAGGCTCCGCAGCAAAGAAGGAGGCATGCTATAATACTGGTATTTCTTCTCCCCAGAGATGTCCATGCTGCCTAGAACCTCTGCACAGATGACATTGCTCCAGCTGTGGGGAAGTTTTCTGCAAGTAGAATGCTTTCTGTTGGCCAGGAGAGCCTCATCCTCTTGTAAGGTGTCAACAGCAGAAAGGACTTTTAGGGTATCCACTGTCAGGGCAGAGAGGTCCTGCAGGTGTCCCACCTGGCTGTCCAAAGACAGTAAGGAGTCCTTTATAAAAGATACCTTTTCATTCATTTCTTTCAGTTGGAAGTACATCTCTGTAACCCTAATGGTAAAGGGAGGGAGAAAACCAATTAACACATTAAGCATTCCAGTGGGAATTTGCCTTACTCTCTTCCTGTCCTTCCATCCTTAGGGGGCTCCTCAGCCTAAGCTGTTTCCCAAATTTAGGTTATGTCTCCTGCCATCTTCTCTCTCTAATAGATACTGTCATCTCAGGTAATCTCACCCTCTCTTATAATTCCCCCCATCACCCCAATGGAGAAAAACCACGAATCTACATTTCTAGCCATTATTTCTCACTAATATTTCAGAACCACATTCCCAGCCTCCTGCTAGTTGTCCCTTCAAACATGTCACCAATCAGCCCATTTGTATTTCTTCATATATTCATTAATTTATCTACAAACATTTGAACATCTCCTAATGGCAAGCACTGCGTTAATCTGGTAGGGAAAGAATATCCTGAGGTAGAAGCCAGAATGACAAGAACAGAATCAATAACCAAATGGGCAATTAGAAATAAAGTTTTAGGTCTTAAAAGAAAATTTCCAAGTCTACAGTTCAAATAGGCTTCCCAAGTTTCAAACAAAACCTACTGTAAAGGACCTACATTCAGAGAAAACCTGAGGCAAAATTTTAAAATTATTTTGAATACTTGAACCCAACATTATGATGTCCAGACACAGATTCACATAAAAACAACACAAGACATCTTCAGCTATGCAAGCACAAAAGCAAAATGCAAATAGTGTCAAATTAAATGTAACCATTGATTTCATTTAGAGAGAGAGAAAAAAGGAAGAAAATGTTGATTAATATTGATCTGTAAATATCTCTGTAAGGAAATGGGTTTTGTTTTATGTCCCTCAAAAGAGATGTGTTGAGTCCTAACCCCCAGTACATCAGAATGTGACCTTATTCAAAAATGTGGTCTTTACAGAGGTAATCAAGTTATTATAAAATAAGGTCCTTCGGGCAGGCCGAGTGGCACGTTGGTTCAGGGTTGGCTTGGGACGCCGGCCCTGAGAGGCGGGGCCCCGATTCGGATACCACATTGGGGCCGGTGACACTGCGCCCTCTACAGCTAGGATGGTGAGTAGCAGCTCAGTCTGGAGCTGGGCTGCCGTGGGTCACCTGCGATGGCATGGGCTGCAGTGGAGCTGCAGTGGGCTGCTGTGAACTGCTGGGAGTGGCCATCCAGGGTCTGGCGGCTGGTCTGCCTCACCCGGGAAGGGCGCAGTGATGGTGCCAACATGGGCCAGTGGAGCGACGTCCTCCACAGCTGGACTGAGGAGCGGGGGGACAGCAGCTTGTCTGTTCCCCTTTCAGCATTCCCCAGTGCTGTTCTCCTCCCCAAATTCCCCAATAAAAATAAATAAATAAAATAAGGTCTTTAGTGTGGGCCCTAAGTCCATATGACTGGCATCCTTATAAAGGGGGAAATTTGGACACAGAGGGAAGACAATGTAAATAAAGATATACAGGGAGAAGACCACCCTGACTGGAGTGATGCATCTATAGGTCAGAGAACCAAGAATTTCCAACAAACACCAGAATGTAAGAGACAAGGAAGGATTCTCCTCTAGAGCCATCAGGAAAAGCATGTCACTGCCAGCACGCTCATTTTGGACTTCTAACCTCCAGAACTATGAAACAATAAATTTCTGTTCTTGTAAGACACTCAGTTTTTGGTTCTTTATTATGGCAACTGTAGGAAATAATGGTTATCTAAGCTTATGAATGCAATTAATAACAAAATGTGTCAGATTTGGTTATATAAAAATAAACACATACACATAAAAATATAACACAAAATTTTAAAACAAAATAAGTTGGAAATTATTCAAACAAATATGATGAGGTGTTGGTATCCCTTAATAAATCAAAAGCTTTTACAAATTGTTGTGGGAAAGAAATTGCAAAGACTGCAAAAGACATGAACAGACAATTCACAGAAGATAAAATATGACAGATAAGGAAACATGGTAAAATATTCAATCTCATTAGGTAAACACAAGTATGCAACACTGGGACATTTAACTAGACAACATATATAAAGAGGCTATAATTTCACTATTCTAAAGCATATAGATATTGTTTACATTATGAGATAGAATATTATGAAGCCATTAAAAATCATACTTATATTGTTAACAGTCATTTCCTTGGGCTGTTTCTGATGATAGGGTGGGTGTCTGTTAGGTTCTGCATTCTATACTTTTAAATTTGGTATAAAAATTTTATAAGTAGAGAAACAATAAAAGTTAAAAAATGTTTACACAGAATGATAAATTTGAAGAACTGTTTTTGATGTATAAGGAGGGGCAAAGTACAAATTCTTTAATTTTAAATATACAGAGAGTGCCAAAAAAAATGTATACACATTTTAAGAAAGGAAAAAACTGTATAAATTGTAATACTCAATATATACCGATAACAAAAGATGAATTCAAGTCACATTTGACTTCTACAATTACAAGAGGTGCTCAAAGTGGTTACCACCAGCGCCCAGACACTTCTGATTACGGTGAACTACTGCTTGAGTATAGATAACATCTCTTAAAATGTGTATACATTTTTTTGGCACCCCCTGTGTGTGTGTGTGTGTGTGTGTGTGTGTGTGTGTGTGTCTGTGTCTGTGTCTGTGTCTGTGTCTGTGTCTAAATGTGCAAAGACCAAAATTTCACACGGGGCTCTGTTTTATGACATTGTTTCTTTTCTTCCCATTTTATTCTTTTATTTGAAGGAAGTATTATATAGTATACTTTCCAATTTCTCAATAACGAAAATCTTTGATAAACAGAAATAAAGTAAAAAAAACAGCAATGGAAGGAATCTAACTAACAGTTTAGTGGCTGATATGACTATATGCAGAAATAAAAAATGATCCCCAGTCTTATCTGGGGTCTGGGAGAAGCAGTAATTATACCATGATGAGTTTAGCACTCAGCTATAGCAAGCACTTCCCAAAACAATGTTAGACATCCCCTCTCTTGAGATCCCCTCAAGTCACATGGAAATCTTCCATTTCTTCTTCCTGGAAGTTTTGCACATAGGAATTAAATAATAAAGAGGGCGGAATTTTCCATTTTTATTATAGTCTATGTGGGTGGAACCCTCTCTTTCTTGTGTCTGCTATAGAATTCAACTTCTATAACTCAATAGAGGCTTAATAAATGCTTCGTGACCTTCTGGAATCTGCAAAACTAGAATTGGCAAGGCTGATGAGGGAAAGAACACAAAATATATGAATATTCCCTTCCAAATATGCTTAATTAGAGCCTCTCTATCTAGTGCACTGTTTCGTCTAATTCAAAAACAGTACAGTCTGAACAGCAGTAATGGAGACTCATTAAGTTCCATTAGCAGCAGTCACATCAAATGGATACAATAGAAATCAGCAACTATTCACAGCAACAGGTAACACGCTACAATAAAGACCTGTTAGACAAATAACCTGGTCACCCTCAAATCCAGTCCTCCTGCTTTTATAGACACTTATTTTCTAAAGCATTATGTCCTGTGAAACATACTTTAATCATATTCCTTGACCACCAACTACATTAATTTAATCTAGCCTTTTAGTCATCCTGACACATCATATAAATTCTTACAATTTTAGTTTCCCCTGTGCAAGGTTTGTGGGTGGAGGAAGACCAGGATGGTAATTGTTTTATTGTGGGCCTTTGGAGAAGATATTTTAAAATGAGATTATAACAAGTCTAATTATAATCATCAGGACAATTATAATATTCACTGAGTACTCACTACGTGCCAGGCATTTTGCAAAGGCTCTACATTATTATTTTGTTTAATCCACATGAGAACCCTAGAAGGTAAGCATTACTATTAACCTTTTTGTGAAAAGAGGGTAGGTCACGTGGTCAGTCCTATGGTCAGTGATAGAGTGAGGCTGAGACCCAGAGACTAGCATTAGACACTGAGCTCCAGCACCTCTCAGCAACTCATGTGGGACCCAGGCAAAGTTCTTTTAGGGGTCCTAGAGTCCTGTGAAGTTTATGTAAATGAATTACATAAATGTTTCCCATGCTGGGAAGTGTTTGGCCACAAATGTTCCTCAATAAGGTTTCATAGACAAATAATAACAAGACCTGCTCAAACTATAACTCTCTACTGAGTCACAATGCACTTTAGTGTTAAAGTGTTTGAACTTCTTTAAAAAATGTGACATTTACCAAATACAACGTACCCAAACATGCTTAACATAAAGAAATACCCAGTTAACGCCTTACTCCATAGAACAGAGGGGGAAATGCTAGCTTACAACTAGGTCAAAAAGTAGTCGGCGTTACAAAGAGAGAAAGCAAGATATAAAGCAACCTTAGTATGTTCTCTTCTTCTACTTTCACAACTCACTTAATTCTATAAGGACATAGGTGATCTCTTCTTTAACGGTAGGCAAACGTGCAAATATCCTCCTAATCTCCTTTCCCTCCCTCTTCAAATGACTGCTCAGTTACTTCAGAAAAATATTATTCCCTCCCTCCCATACCTCATTTGTGAACTCCCCAGAAATGGCCTCAACAAGAATAATCATATAAAAGAGGGCTGGTAAAATAGTTCTATCAACAGGGAATGTTGATTATGTTTTGAAGTTAAATTAGAACTTCATAATCAAATTCTAGACCCCTGAGAGCATCTAGCATATTTTTCAGAAGCTACATACACACACATCTACCTTCTAATTTTTCTCTACTCAAATCTCCAAAAAACTATTCGAGAGAAATATAATCGTCTATGATGATTAATGCTGTTAGGCTTATTATTATTATTATTATTATTATTATTATTATTATTATTATTGAATTCCTTGTTTGTAAATGTCTGGGTCTCAAGTTTTCGCTCTGTATTCTCTTGACTCATAATACTACTTTTCCTAGTTTTCGTTATACTCCTCTGATCCACTCATTTTAGTCTTCTCCATGAGTTTCTCTTCCTTGGTCCATTATACAGGTATTGGCACCTCTCAGGGTTATACCCTCAGCGCACTGAGTTTCTCCACTGCACGTGCTATCTGGGTATAATCACTTCCTCTGTCATAGTTTTATTGTTTTTATAATAAGCAGATGACTCCCAAATCTCCTTGTTCAATTCAAACTTTGCCTCAAAGGTCTTCAGATTCACACATCTCCAGTCTCCCAGACATTTCTGGCTGAATGTGCCACAAGCATCTCAGACTCACCAAATCTAAACCTCGTTGCTTCCCACCCACTCTCACGCCTTTTGTACATTCTTCATCTTGGTGGTGTGACCTTTCACTTAATTACTCCACTACAGACCACAGACTCATCCCAGACTCCATCCTCTCCACATCCAATCCCTAACTCACCTCATGAATTGTCCTTTCTAAGTATGTCTTTATTCATCCCCTCTGCTACGGTCTAAATGATTCTGTCCTACCAAATTTCATATGTTGAAATCTTTTTTTTTTTTAAGATTTTTATTGGGGAATTGGGGGGTTGGGAACAGTTCTGGGGAATTGGGGGAAAAGGAACAGACAAGTTGCTGTCGTTTTGTTCTTCAGTCTATTTGTGGAGGACATTGCTTCACTGGTCCAAGTTGGCACCATCATTGCACTCTTCCTGGGCGAGGCAGATCAGTCGCCGGCTTCTGGACAGCCGCTCACTGAGGCTGCTGGCCACTCACGCTGGCTGCTGGCTACATACGGTAGTCCATGGCAACCCACTGCCACAGGGACTGCAGCCTACGCCGTCGCCGGCGACTCACGGCAGCCCAGCTCCAGGTTGAGCTGTTGTTCAGCATCTTAGCTGTAGAGGGCAGTGTCACTGGCCCTCATATGTGGGATCCAAACCGGGGCCCTCTGGCGTCCCAAGCCAGTTCTTAACCATCGCGCCACTCGGCCAGCCCCATATGTTGAAATCTTAATGCCCAAATGTGATGGCATCAGGAGGTAGGGTCTTCATGGTGATTATGTCAGGAGGGTGGACCACTCGTGAATGAGATTGTGCTCTTACAAGAGAGATCCCACAGGGCTCCCTGGCCCTTCCACCATGTGAGGGTACAAGAAGTCTGTGATCCTGCAGAGGGCCCTCACCAGACCACACTGGCAGCCTGATAGACTTCCGGCCTCCAGAACACTGAGCAATAACTTCCTGCTACTTATAAGCCACGCAGTCTATGACATTTTCTTCTAGTAACCCAAACGAGCCAAGATACCCTCTTTTCAATCCTTGAGACTCCTTCATCTTCTGCATCAATCTCTCAGGTGGTCTCCCTAGTTCCCAATTCTGACTCCTCCAATCCAGTCTATCACTGAAGAAATCTGCCTAGAAGGTAAACCTGTCTATATCACTGACCATCTAAAATCCTTCCTTAGTTTATAGTGTAAAGTAAGGGTCGCTCCACAATCTTGTTCATAATCTTAGGAGTGGAGGGGGTTATCTTGATCCCATCTTACTTACCTATTCCCCTTTTCTTAAGGTTTGGAAGGGAATTCGTATTTAAAAAGAATTATACTCAAAATTTTGGAAGCCTGTTTTTACATACTATTGGGTTGCCGGAAAAGTCATGACGCATGTTTGCAACAGATGGCACTAGTTCATTTTTGGAAGTACTAGAGTCATTCACATCTATGTAATTGCTATGTCATTTGACAGCTGATAGTTCTAGCTTTATTCTAAAAAAAAATTGAGTGACTTGGTTGAGTTTTGGAGATTTTACAAATTGAAGATGGAATACCAACTGTGCATTTTTGCCATATTTTGCTGTTTTAGTTCCATAAAGGGAAGAACGTGTGTCAAGCTTGTGAAAAGTTGCATAAAGTTTATGGTGACAATGCTGTACAAAAATGTCAGTGCCAACAATGGTTCATGAAATTCCGCGCTGGTGATTTTGATCTCAATGACGCTCCTCGGTCAGGGAGGCCCAACGAGGTTGATGATGACAAAATAAAGGCATTGATGGAGTCAAACCCACATCACACAACACGAAAGATTGCAGAAACATTGAACATCCATCATTCACGTGTTCACGACCACCTGAAGAAGCTGGGAAACGTAAGCAAGCTCGATATTTGGGTTCCGCATGAACTCAAAGAAGTTCATTTGATGGTGCGTATAAACATCTGCAATATGCTCATTAAACATGAGGAAAATGATCCTTTTTTGAAGCGACTGATAACTGGTGATGAGAAGTGGATTGTTTACAATAATGTCGTGTACAAATGGTCTTGGTCCCGACGTGATGATTCTCCTCAAACAACATCAAAAGCAGACATTCATCAGAGGAAGGTTATGCTCTCAGTGTGGTGGGATTTTAAAGATGTTGTGTTTTTCAAACTCCTACCAAGGAACCAAACATTCAATTTGAATGTGCGCTGTCGGCAATTGGACAGTTTGAACGAATCCATCATCCAGAAACATCCAGAGCTTGTCAAATGCAAAACAGTTGTGTTCCATAGCGACAGTGCAAGACCACACACAAATTTGATCACCCATCAAAAATTATTGGAGCTTGGGTGGGATATGTTGCCACACCCACCATATTTGCCTGACCTTGCACCGTCAGACTTCCACTTGTTTCGCTCTGTTCAAAACTCCTTGCGTGGTATAATGTTCAATTCAGATAAGTCTATAAATCAGCACCTTGTTTGGTTTTTTGCAAATAAAGACAGGTCCTTCTATGAACGAGGAATTATGAAGCTCACTGAAAGATGGCAAAAGGTTATCGAACAAAATGGGCAACATATCATTGATTGATCTTTGCTCTTTATATAAATAAACAACCTTTGAAAAACAGACAAAATACATCATGACTTTCCTGACAACCCAATAGTAGCTAACTTTCACTGCGGCCTTACTATCTACCAGCTCTCTGTCACATACTTCATCTGTATCATCTCATGTAATTCTCACAGCAACTCTTAAGAGGTGGTTTGTTTTCACTCCCATTTTACAGATAAGAAAACCAAGGCCCAGAGTAAATTTTCCCAAGGACATACAGCTAGGAAGTGGCAGAAGCAGGACTTCATCCCACCTCTGTAAACCCTTATCTGGGAATGTTTCATACAAAACTAAGAACCATGCTGACCCACAGGACTTCATGAGCATAGCTGTTAAAAAAAAAAAAAAGCAGCATGTATGGAAGAGGAAAAGGGAAGTTCATAGAGCTCTGGCCTAAAGATACTAGTTAAGTAAAATAGAATTTTGTGGATTCACACGTCTTTATTTGATAGTCAATTTTCTTCTCAATATTAACATTTGATCTGAAACTCAATCAGCTACCTAAACACATATTTACATAAATATGTTATCAATAGACAAGTCCAGAAATATAACATGCCCATAATGAACCATTTAGAAAGTTCTAAATGTGATTCAGTTTTAAATAGAGCCATATGGAAGGATTCACTAACTATCTATTTGGACATCAGAAAAATACATACATAATTAGGTATCGCATTTTATAGTCAGGTCCATGTATAGTCAAAAATGTAGGAACACATTTAACTTCTGTCAATTTGCTTCCAGTTAAGAGAGCAGCTCTATGTTTTAAAAAGTGCCTATCAGCACATACTGCCCTCCATATTTTAACACACCGCTATGTACCCACAATTAGTAGTGCATCCATAATAGCTTTGATCCTACTAGTTTCTCAATATATTCACTCTCTCCAACACATCTTCTCCTCTCTTCTCAAACCTCTGAATGGCCTCCCTGCAGTGATCCCCCAAAATCACACATGCCCACAGGCACCTCAGCTGGTGACTCTGTCGTGAGAACGTCTTCCCAACCCGAGCTGCATCCCCGTTGCAGACTAGCCATATTCTCTCCTGGCTCCTGCTCCATTAAGCCCCTCCACGAGACCTTAGTGTTAGCCGATCACCTCCTCTCTCCCGCTCCTGCAGGTTCTCCCTTGCTGGAGGACCATTTCCAGGACCATCCACATTTCTCTTGTTAACTCCACATGAAACAAAACAAAAGAACCTTCATGTGTCCCCATGCCGCCCCGCCCCTTGCTTCCCTTCACAGAAAAACTTCTCACAAAAGCTGTAATTGTTCTCTCCACTTCTCTTCACCCTTCACCCACTTCAGCCATCCACTCCACTGCCCAACAACTGCTGGTCAGGGGCCCTGAGACCTTCATGCCTCCTGATGCAACAAGCGCAGTACACTGGCCACCCCCTGGCCTCCAGGCTGCTCCTGGGCGCAGGAACCTGGCTGCCTCAGGCGCCTGCATTTGCTGCTCCTTCCGCCAGGTGCACAGTGCCACCTGATGTCTCTGCCTGGTACACCTCCCTTGGGTCTCTCCTCCTCAACCACCTCACATCGACCTTCCTGTGCCAGACTACCCCAAACAGTTCAACCCAACCCCCAACACCAGCAGACCCCTTGCCACCATCGTTTTCCATTCCTTTATGCTACTTTATTTTTCTTCATTGCTGTTTTACTATCTGATATTAAATTACATATTACTTTTATGTTTCCTTGTTTATTTGTTTGTCCCCCCACCCCCTCACTCCTCCACAAGTACACACTAGAATGTAAGTCCTATGGAGTCAGGGATTCTTGTCTCCTATACACCATTTACCTCCAGTAACTAGAATAGTGACTGGAACAGAGCAGATGTTCAATAAACATGCATTAATTATTTGGACATTATGTGCTACTTGAAAACATTTTAGAGAACCTAAACCTCTGGATTTTTTAAGTCGATCTTAGTCCTTTTTAGATGTTCTAGTAGAATCGGGTTTGGGTAGCAGTTTGAGGATGGAAAATACATATATCTTTTACCTTTCTGATGTCACTCGGATTCGTTCCTCACAACTACAATTTAGACCTTCCATCTTCTCATGAAAGTATTTTTCCACACACTGTTCTTCAAAATCGTGAAGTTTTTTCAGATCCTCCTTACTCAGGTAGAGTTCTGTGAAAATAAGTATGGTACATAAAAAGAATCATTATTCACCTGTAATAGGAAGCTGATACAGTGTATGAGTCACTTTTCTTCCACTTGTGTTAAAATTTGATACGTTGGGGCTTGTATGATAAAACGTTGCTGCCTTGTCAGACTGTATTCTTAGTATTAAGGAGGAAGTCTTATGTAGGAACAACTGGAAACGCCAGTCTGGGTCTGCCTTAGTTGCTCTATAAACAGGCATAGGAGTGTGAAGATAGCACATGTGGAACAGACACTTTCTCTTCAATATTTTCACAGGTTAGAATATTTTTACACATTAACAAAAATTCACTGTACAGTTGACCCTTGAATGTGGGGGTTAGGGGCACCGACCCCCACTCCGTGGAAAACCCACATATAACTTTTGACTCCCCCAAAATTGATTGTCTTTTTTTCCCCCCTGCCAACTGTTTTATCTCTCAAAATGACAATGAGTAACCTATAGGTTAAAATCATAGCTAGAAGTCAAAGTCTTTTGAAATTAATCCAGCAAGTATAAGAAAATTTTAACTTGTTACACTGAGTTTGCATACACTATGCTCTCCTATTGGAAAAAAAAGATATATTATTACCAATAAATAGCCAATTAAGGCTACCCACCTTCCCTGACAGAATTATAATTAAACTCATTAAAAGACACATCATTTGGTGATATTTTGAAGCTAATGCAATTTTTATCAAACTTCAGCAATCATTCAGGCTACTGTCTTAGCTCTCACTCTGAACTAACAGGAAAATACGTATGTTAAGCAAGTTTCCAATACTTGGAAAACATAAAAATGGTGTTGCAAAAAGGATAAAATTGGAAAGTCTTCTTCCTTCAATAATTTCACTTAAACTGGGGGGGGGGGAGGAGGGAACGATTAGGGTTCTCCAGAATTTATTAGAAGTAAAAATGTTCCAATATTTTCCAATAACATGAAAGACAAAAATATTAATTTGAATTGAAAAACATGGCAAAAAGAAAACAATACTCAACCATAAAATACGTTCACAACTCAAGAGCACAATGTTTTCTGATTTTATGGTGCGGAAAACTCTTTCAAATACTGAAAAAATCCAGTATCCCTCCAACTCTAAATTAAAGACTCTCCTATGAGCAAGAAACTTCACAAGTGTCATGATTTGAACTTTCTGTGAATCCATGAGAGCAAACAATCCACAGAGCAATTCCAGTGACAGGCGCCGCTTATAGCCTATGACGCATTCTTGGGGCTGTCCGCCAGGTGGCACTGCTGCAACATATGTAAAGGTCCTGATCCTCAATACAGAAAATTTACTTGAGTGTTATACCAGAATCATCCTATAAGCCCAGATCACGGTGAGCCCAGGAAAGGCTCTTTGGTATGGTGCTAGGATAGCTGGCTAGCTAAATCCTAGTTAATCCCAGTATCTCTCAAGTGGTTTACACTCTACTATTAAGTTGCAATGCTCCTGCAGCCAGTGCCTGGGATGACACTCTATCAGAAGCCTAAAATTTACAGTATAATTACAAGCCTTTAAATTAATTTCAAAAACAAAAACAAACAAACAAAAATAAGTAAAATAAAAATAAAATAAATCAACTTCAGTTGTAGTTAGACCGAATCTCTTATAAAGACTGAATCTCTTGTTGGGGAAGAAATGGAAAAGAAAAATAAATCTTCAAAGTGATTCAAGAGGAGAAAAATATTTCACACAGCCAACTACCAAGAGCAAAAGCACATTACCCTGACAATCTTGCAGTAACCTCTGTCCCCCTAAGGGCTCACCAAAATGTATAAATACTCCACAACTCCTTATCTGAAACTCCTGGAACCGATGTGTTTTAGAATTGAGAATTTTTTTTCTAGTTTTAGAAAAGATTAAAAGAGTGCATATACCATACATGGTGTAAAACCCCTACTTGGGATCAGGGCAGTCCCCTATAATCAGACACATTACTATTTCTGCAGCAAAATTGATGAATATTCACACCACATGGGATAAAAAGAATAAATAGCTTCACATTAGTCCCATAAGCCACTTCTGCCCAAATGAGTCTTTCCACAACTTATGAAAAAAAAAAGACTTTCCATTTTCAGAGGTACTTTCGATTTACAAATTGGGATAAAGGATTATGGATTTATGCTACCTATTTCCTCTATATCTAGGGATTATCTAGAAATGGGCTTGGTATCAATTGTGGAATTTCTTGAGAGGAACTACAGAAGATCTGTATACCGTATTTGCCGGCGTATAAGACGACTCGGCGTATAAGACGACCCCCTAACATTTCCACTCAAAATACAGAGTTTGTTATATGGTCGGCTGTGTGTGATTTTGCGAGTGTGGTAAAATCGCATAACAGCAAAATCGCATAACAGCCGAGCATACACCCAGCAGCGCTGATGCCTGAATGGTATGTGGAATGAAGTGGGCGGGCATCGGGAGGCCACTATGGCATGGGGCAAGCACTATGGGCAGTCTATCTGAAGTGTACCTGGCGTATAAGACGACCCTCCACTTGGAGGCATATTTTTCAGCGCCAAAAAATCATCTTATACGCCGGCAAATACGGTAATCACAAAAATGAATGTTTTCCTCATATGACAATTAGTATATGATCGCCATATGATGCAATCAAGATATGACTAAGCAAAATGAACTAGGATAATCTCAAAATATGTAGACTTAAGCTTTGGAGAGAGAGCTAGAGAGAGAGAGAGAGAGAGAGAGAGAGAGAGAGAGAGACTGAAGATGTGAAACATCCACTTAGAATCACCTCCATACTCCGTAGATTTAGACAACCAGAGAACTGGTTAATACATTAATCAGAAAGTCTTGCTTATCTATCTCCCTTAGACCACAAGGCCTTCTGTAAGTCCTTCCTATTTGGATTACATCTTCAACAATGGGGAAATGCGTATGGATCATTGTAACTACTCTCTAGGAGTTATTCTGATGAATTCCCAGGTCAGCAGAGAAAACACATATTCCAGGTGACTTAAAACCTTTACACAGTCAAGCAGAGATTCTGTTCCTACCTAGTCTTTTCTTTCAAAGTATCAATTAATCTTGGCAAAGGGCACTACAACCACACAATGAGATCCATGTATTTATTATACGTAGACCCGGGTTCTCAGCTGATGCGCTATTGTCAGTTAACTCGCAGAGCCTTCTATCCTATGCCCTGAATTTAACTGACAATACTCCAGTGTGTCTTCAACTTTGCATCTCCACTCTTTACTCTGTTCCTCCTGCCCCAGCCACTAATGGAAACTTACTTAATCCAACATCACCCTCTTCTTGGTCATTTGGAGCTCGACGATGACAAAGACGGCGAAGGAAGAGACCAACGTGACTGAGCAGGATGAAAGGTGGGGGCAGCCAAAGCTTCTCATGGTAGGTCATGATGTAGCGATAGCGATTGTATTTCCACAGTTTGTTTGAAATGGACTTCATGTCTAGATAAACGTTACTGTAAGTCGCAGTAAGAGAGGGACAATGCTTTAATACAGAATCCTGAAATATAATAGATTTTTTCTCTTTCTTTTCCAGGTTTTATGATTGGCTCATCTGACATTACCAGCCACTAGCCAATAAAAACAATATCCATTGCATTTCTGATTCTTCTTCCACCAAACAAAATACGTTAATCACTTTCCACAATAAAATATGCTAATCTGAATAATAAGCAAAAGGTAAAAATTAAAATCAGAGAGAAGAAAATGCTAACGTTTTAAATGCCATGAAAAGATACTGCCCTCTGGAACTTAACACTGTCCTTGGTTCACCATGTCTTCTCACATAAAAAACTTTTTTCATCATTCATGGTAAACAGCTTTAATATTCCTCTACATGATCAACCTTATGAAGAGGTTCTCCTAATGTCACCTGTGAAAACTGCTAGCATAATCCTAGTTAAAACACCCAAATAAAAGAATATTAATAAAGAAAAAGAGGTAGGGAAAGAATCAATTCATCCTGAAATAAATCAATAAGCAGAGGTTCTGTTTAGAAGGTAGATGCCTATATTATTCAGATTAACTTCACAATAAAAGTAACTCTTACTGTTAGGCCATATTGGATTGTCCCTTTAATTACATCAATTATAATATGAAGATAGTGTGCTAAATATATTGATACTACAGAACTTACAATGAATGTTCTGGTGGGTGGCAGTTATTCTAAACCACCATTTCATCCTTAACTACTTAGCTTTAAGTCTATAACATGATGTGGGGGGGGTGTCACAGTGGAATGTCTATCTTAACATTTTTCTTAGGCTATAAAATTGAGTCTCTTTAGAGAAAATGTCAGAGAGTACTTGAGGAAGGAAGCCACATTTAGCAAAATAAAGATACAGGCAACCTTAAACTTGAGTAATAATAAAGAAAAGGAACCAGAACTATCCTAGAGAAAACCAGCTTAGGATAAGAGGAGGTGGAATATTTCATGGACTCCATAAAGTAGATGAAGGAAATGCAGATGACTGGGTTTTATTCAACAGTGGTTCTCAGTGTGGTCAGTGAATCAGCAGTAACAGCATCACCTAAGAACTCGTCAGAGATGCAAATTCTTGGGTCCTACCCCAGAACTACTGAATTAGAAACTCTAGAGGTGGATATTTATGGCAATCTGAATCTCAGCACGCCCTCCAGTTGATTCTCCTGCACGATCAAGTTTAAGAACCACCAGATTACATGCTGCTGCCCCTCCATGTGTGACTATAGCCTATCCACCAGCAGGTGGCGATATTCACAGTATATTTTCAGGTTCTTTGTCATTACTGGTATAAAGAATCTAGAGAGGGCCCTGGACAAGTAGTCAGAGCTTGGGTTTCTCAGCTCATTTGGTTCTCATTTGTGTTCATCTCTAAAGTGAGAAAACTGGTCTATGTGAGCATTTCTCAACCTCTCTTTTGATACCTGATGATTTTTAGAAACAAAAATCTCATGTCCTAAAAATGATGATAACTATCATATAATCTTGTAAAAAGCAGGAAGGTATATCGTATATATATGTGTGTATATATATATATATATATAT